TTATGTATTAGTCAGGATCTGTATATACAGAACTAACAGGATGTGGATATACAACTAAAGAGAGAGGATATGCACAGTCGGAACATTTGGATTACCATACTGATCTTTCTCCTGGGAAATGTAGTTTGGGCTCTTATGGATATTAAGGTAAATAAATTCATCTTTAAAAATAAACTGAAGTAAAAATAAGCGAGCTTTCAATTATCCGAGTTTATTATAGGATCTCTGTGATCCATATGTTGGTTCTAAAGATACTTTTCAAAAATCATATCTATACATAAATTTTCACTGGCAACATGCCTTTTTTCTTCCTTTAAAATACAAATGCAAAGAAACCATCCTTAAATTATCTTGCCTTGTGAGTGACATCCTCCATGAAGGCCTAGATTCACCTCCAGCCCACATACTAATAGATCCAGTGAGACTGCTGCTATGAACTGTAATAGATGGAATGAAGAACAGTGGAACAGAGGTGTGGTATGTAACTTGTGCTGGAAAAACAGCCTCACATCACTTTACATAGCCTTTCTGGGCATTTTGTTTCGTAGGAGAGGATTCACAGAGAAACCAATCATCGACCTGGACTCAAGAAGAAATAGGAGGCATGTGTCAACATAGCTACAGCAGGTGCTATGTTCTGCCACCTGAAATGAGTAGCACCTTCCATACAGTAGAGCTGGAGTTAAAGGGACTGGGATGGAACTAGATTCCTGTTGTGTGTCCCTTTGAACGAAATTTCAAAATTTTGATAATACCTGTGGAAATGAGGAGTAAACATCAGCTGAAAAAGTTAATGAAAATTCTAGCTTTCAATAAGATGTTATTGTATTGAGAAAAGATCAAAATAATTCAAAAAATTTATCTAAATTTCTACTGGGAAGTCACCAATAATGAAGGGAGAAAGAAAATTTTTTTCAACAAATGTTACTAAACTCCTGAAAAAAATACAAAATAGTCTCTATAATAGAGAACCAGAGTTGTAACAACCATTACAACCGAAGGCTCAACCAGACCAGAAGTCAGTGCTGGGTTGCCATGGTGACCCAGCACTGACTGGGGCTACTGCCAGTGACCCAACCCAGCACTGACTGCCTAGGGGGCTGCGAATCAGGCCCAGAGAGAGGCCTACAGAGAGAGTCAGGGTCTAATCTGTAGCCTCTGTGGCAGCCATTGATCAGAACTTGCCTCTCTTTCTCTCCCAGCCTGGCCAACTGCTGGCCTCCATTTCTCTCTAGGCCTCCACTGGGCTGCTTAACAGCCCTCCCTTTCTGATCAGGCCCCATTGATAGGCCTGTAGATGCTCACTGGTATAGAAACAAACCAATCAGAACCAAATCTGGGTGAATGTAAGTAGCCAATGGCTGCCTAGGAGGCAGAGGTTTTGATGCTGACTGGCATAGAAACTGACCAATCAGAACCAAATTGGCTGGCAAAGGAAGGCAATTGGGGGTGATCAGGTAGGCAGAGGAAGTTGGGGATGAGATTAGGTCAGTAGGGGAGAGCAGTTGGGGTCTCAATCAGTCTGGCAAGGGAGGGCAGTTAGGGGCGACCAAGCAGGCAGGCAGAGAGGTTAAGGAGGATCAGGCAGGCAGGCAGAGGGGCTAAGGGCAGTAAGTCAGGCAGGCAGGTGAAAAGGGTCCCAGATTGTGAGAGGGGTGTCTGACCACTGGTTTAGGCCCAATCCCACAGGGATCAGACATCCTCTGAGGAGTTCCCAATTGAAGTGGGTACAGGCTGTGCTGAGGGAACACCCCCTCCATGCACGAATTTTGTGCACATAAAAAGCCAGGTGTCATGACCAGAACAACCAATTGACCAGTTGCTATGAGGTGCATTGACCACCCTTGGTCCCTCCCAACAGGCTCCTATCACTGGATGGCCAATGAGCAACCACAGGAATTGGGCTGGGTGGCAGCAGAGCAGGACTGGGGACTGGATTCATGGGCATCAGCAGTGAGTAGAATAACAGAGCATCTCAGGGTGGCAACAGTATCACAGAGGGCTGCAGGCAGTGGCAGCATCGCGGAGCACCCTGGGGCAGTGGAGAGCAGCTTCATGGAGCATCCCAGGGTGGTGATAAGCAACATCACAAGGCATCGCAGGGCAGTGGCAGCAAGAAGCATCAGGGAGCATCGCGGGCTGGTGGCAGTATGCAGAGCATCCTGGGGCAGCAGCGAGCAGCACTGCAGAGCAGCAGACATGGTTCTGATCACAGGTTAGGCGTAGGGACCCTACACATGCACAATTTCATGCGCCTAAGTGACCATCTGACCAACCGTTCGCCTGGTAGCTATGATGTGCAATGACCACCAGGGGGAAGATGCTCTAACCAGTAGAGGACAGAGCCTAATTCCTTGTGGAATCGGCCATGGGTTAGGTTGCTGTTGGGCACTGTCAGCCCTTAATCTGCTTCACCCGCACCCTGGACCCAGAGAGGAGGGAGCCCGATTTTAGGGTGTGTCACCCAAGAACCTCCCTCTCAGCATCTGGGATGCCTTAGGGGATGTTGGAGAGCCAGTTTTGGTTCAATCTCTGCAGGCCAGGCCAAGGGACCCCACTGAGCCTCTACTATTGAACATAAAATGTCATTGATAAAAACCAAAAACAAATGGTGCTAAAAAAAAAATATATATATATAGATATCCTATTGATAAAAGAAACTGTAATCAATGCCTATCCTATATAATAAAAGCCTAATATACAAATCGACTGAACGGCAGAATGGCCAATTGCTATGACATGCACTGATCACAAGGGGGCAGCCGCTCAAAGCAGGAGCTGCCCCCCCCCTGGTGGTCAGTGTGCTCCCAAAGGGGAAATGCCACTCAGCCAGATGCTGGGCTCATGGCTGGCAAGCACAGTGTTGCAGGAGCCTCTCCTGCCTCTGTGGCAGTGCTAATGACCCTTCTGGGGATATCCGACTGCCAGTTTAAGCCCCCTCCCCACAGAGACTGGGCCTAAGCTAGCAGTTGGACATCCCCCAAGGAGTGCTGCACTGTGAGAGGGCACAGGCCGGGCTGAGGGACTCTCTCCTCCAGAGCACAAATGTCGTGCACCGCACCAGGCCTCTAGTCTCACATAATATACAGAAATGAATTCAAGGTGGACCAAGGGCCCAAATGTAAAGCTAAAACTCAAGATAATTACAAAAAACATTGTTAACATAAAACAAATGGGGGTTTTGTTTAGCAAATAAGAATTCTTTACTCTTTATTCAAAAGCAACTTATTTTTTTCAACTCCAGGGTCTTTTCCTGGCTGCTGGCTGCTGTGTATAATAGAAATTAAATAGTTTCTTTCTTACAATGGGAGACCAAGTCCAGTTGGTTTTGTACACATCAATTTAAAAATAGATGAAAAGAATAGAGCTATCACAACACATAATATGTTTTATTATAATAACTGGTATTTTCAAAACTTCACATTGTTACAGAATATTTATAAAATAAGAAAGCCTAAAAAGTTTAAGACCACATAACTAGCATAGTTCTCTGTTTCAAAGCCAAATCAATCTCCTGAAGTTTGAGAGAATTACTGAGATAATAAATTAGAAAAGAGGAAATTGGTGAGTTGTTTTCTTCCTCAAGTTGCCCAGCTGCCTCTAATTTGGAAATGATAAATGCAGGTAGGAAGACCATTGGAAGCTGCCAAACACAAGCATTAGCCGGAAGCCACGCTGAGTGGGAGGAGAGACAGGGCAATCCATTTGCAGAGAAAGCTCTTGTGAAATCCGGAAGATTTTTTTTCTAAGGAAGTCCCACTGAAAGTCTATAATACCTCTGGAACACCTGTAAATTTCATAGCTGAAAGTATCAGCAGTAGCTGTACGCACTTTATATACCTGGAACCTTCACCCCGGGAAAGCAGAAGTCTGTCTCTTTTGAATAAAAGGAAACAGTAAGGACAAGAGATGATCCAGGTCAAATGGGAATAGAATGACTTTTGGACAAATTCCCACAGTGCCATGTGACTATTCTACAGTTAACAACCGTGTAGGCCACTAAGAAAATGATCAGTCATTGGAGGGCAAACCAATTCTGTGTGTTTCCCATCAACATATTGCATATGAAATAATAAAGAAAATTATGCTGTTGTAACACTTAAGGCAAGCAAACATTAATCCTTCACTTAACAAATGTTTAACGCTGCCTGTGTCCCATATATTTTTACCTATACATTCTAATTTTCAGCAATCCTACAGCTGACGCATTCCCAACATCACTATCGATAAGGAGACACAGAAAGATTTTAACCCTTTGTCTGTCTGTTTTCATAAGTTCCTGAGAGAATAAATAGTAGTTTACTGAACATTGTGGCCCCAAGGCATAGTAGTCAGTTCATATTAAACTAAAAAATACGTGTTAAATAAATTAGTAAATGAATGAATGAGATATAGTTAGACACTAAAAAATACCTAGGAGCAGAAGCAGGGGGGTGAAGGCAGAATAAAAACACAAACAGAAAATCCAGTCGCTCCCGTTGCTTGTTACTCTTAAAGAAAGCAAAATTAAAAAGTAAATCATCTTAAACCTAGCTACAAAAGGAAGGCATTGCACCCATAAGCTGGAGAAAGAATGAGTCCCAGAATTCAGAGTTGTAGAGTGTGCAGCTGAATGCAGTCACCGACAACAGACTAAGAATCAGGTGAGAGAAGTCAGGGGAATGAATACCACAATCTCTGCCTTTCTTGAAGACCTCAGGTTTCCTGCTCGTGGTTCCCACTGACCAACACAACTAAAGGGCATGACGTGCTCATGGATGAGGTACACAATGATCAGCCTCTGAGGGGACAAAGCAGAGAGAGGAACGGCGGAAGACAGAGCTACACAGGCAAAGGAAGGGTATCCAGCAAAAGCCACTTGTTTTCCATTTCATTATACTTTTATTTGAAGAACAATTAAAATCAATTTAACACATTCTATTTCCATATGGTGTGACCTTTGTATTATTCTATTTGCAGTGGACAAAATGCTGATTATCAAACACACACTCCTGGGTCTTCTAAGGACTGGCAGGCGCCTGGGGCTCTATAATCTTAGGTGATGTGTCTTCATGATATCTCTCTCTGATTCCAGCTACTTCCTTATCATCAAGTAAAAAAGAAGCCAGGACTGGAATCTGTGCAAAGTAGTTCTTAGCCAGGATATGTTTGTGTTTGATCTTGTGAATGAACAATTGTTCATATCCCTAAAAAAAAAAAAAAAAAAAAAAAAATTCTATTAAATGTCAGTTATATTTAGCCAAGTAAAAACACTTTCATGCCTCACTGCCTTTGCTTATCATTTCTCGGAGTCCAGTATACATTTTTCCCCACTTTGATCATCGTCTTTCAGGGATCAGCTCCTATAACCTTTAACCTTCCAGCCTCTCCTGACTCTCCCTTCTTTTCAACCAAGTGATGGCTACTACCATGTTTCCCCGAAAATAAGACATCCCCCGAAAATAAGACCTAGCGCATGGAAAGATAAGACATCCCCTGAAAGTAAGACCTAGTGCAACTTTGGGAGAAAAAATTAATATAAGACACTGTCTTATTTTTGGGGAAACAGGGTACCTGTACCTTCTCCAACCACCTGTTTTTTGAGAGTAAAACATCCCCTCAGTAAAGATCCCTCCATGGTGTCAATCAAAAGTAAAGAGCCCTTGAGGATAGGAGCTAACCTCTGAGTCCAAACTGATCCTTCCTGCCTTCGTACTTGCAAACACTTTCACGTATTTTCATTGTAATTTTAGGTCATTCTACTTGAACTTCGCTATATTCTTGAAAATCTCTCCCATGATAAAGAGAACTCAAGGGTTCACACTGGGTCTCTCTCATAGCCGTGTCCCTAAGGTAAATACTTAATCAATATTTTTGAATGAATGCACTTGTGCCACCTTTGTGCTATTTCTTTTTTCAAAATATATTTTTATTGATTTCAGAGAGGAAGGGAGAGAGAGGTAGAAACATCAATGATGAGAGAGAATCATTGATTGGCTGCTCCTGCACATCCCACCCTGGGGATCGAACCAGCAACCAGGGCATGTGCCCTGACTGGGAATCGAACCATGTTCTCCTGGTTCATAAGTTGATGCTCAATCACTGAGCCATGCCGGCCAGCCAGGCTTGGTTCTCTCTGTAAGTCTCTTTCATATTGATAAAATTACCAACTTAAATTTTTTTCCAACCTTGATCCTTCCCACATCTCTATAGTTCAAACTAAAGTTCACATTGGTGTTGGTGTTGGTCAACCCTTTTATTGCCTCAGATTCCACCTTATGAATCCCTGCAGTCATTCTCTTGTAGCTTCTAAACAGGAAAGAGCATGGAAGAATTAGGCTTTTCTTCAAGCACTAAGCACAGTATCTGGAACATTCAAAACTAAATTCTAATTGGAGTAATAAATACCACATATTTTCTTTATTAATATTAATTGACCCTTCTTTTCAACAAAGTGAAGGCAACTACCTGTACCTTCTCTCACCACCTGTTTTTTGAGAGTAAAACAGCCCCTCAGTAAAGATCCCTTTGTAAGTGTCAATCAAAAGTAAAGAAAGCCAGATGGGAGCCAAAGAATATGATCTTGCAGGGAGAACTAGTAGCAGTATCCTGGGCTTATTTTTAAGTTTACTCTCCACAGACAAATTTAACAGGTCAAAATAGAAATCCTTCGCACTAATCTTTGTTCCATCACTTCATAGCTCACATTTATTAAAGAAAAATTAATACATTTCTGTTATGCAGCATGAAATTATCCATACACAGGACTTTCTAGGTTTTCAAAGTACTTTTATAGATCCAAAATGTAGTCCTTAAAGATGAGATAAGCATATTATAGTAGACTAGAGGCCCAGTGCACAAAATTCATACACTGGCGTAGGAGGGTGCCCCTCAGCCCAGCCTGTACCCTCTCCAATCTGGGACCCCTCGGGGGATGTCCAACCAGCAGTTGGATATCCCTCTCACAATCCAGGACTGTTGGTTCCCAACCGCTTGCCTGCCTGCCTGCCTTATTGCTCCTAACCACTTCTGCCTGCCAGCCTAATCACCCCTAACCACTCCCCTGCCAGCCTGATTGATGCCTAATTGCTCCCCTGCCAGTACAATTGGCCCCAACTGCCCTTCCCTGCTGACCCTGTAACCGACAACTGCCCTCCCCTGCTGGCCCGGTCACCCCAAACTACCCTCCCCTGCCAACCATCTTGTGATGGCCATCTTTGACCACATGGGGTGGCTATTTTGTGTGAGGGTGTGAGGGTCAATTTGCATATTACCTCTTTATTATATAGGATACAATTAAAGAAATAATAAACAGCTCTGAGAAAACCAGAACACCAAGACATTAACAACCTTGCCCAACTTCTCTCAGCTCAGGAGTGATAGAGCCTGAATTCAAAGTCAGGCAGCTCATGTCCTCTGTACCAAACCCATGCTTTTAGGTAACTTTTATAAAAATAGATGAAGCACAGGGGGCAGGCCTTACTGGCATTCATATTGTTAGTGACAGGAATGGGTCAGGTCTGCTGACTCTAAATCCACTGTTGTCCTACTTTGGCCAATGTGCACACCATGAGAAATTGATCTGCCTCATTTTTCAGTTTAGAGAAGAGAAGCTTTTTTCCATTCTTTTCCTATAACTTGTGTCATGATTACAGGAAGTCAAAATTATTTTAATTTCTGACTATTTTTTTTTAATTTACTGAGAAAGCAACTATCAGTGCATTACGGAAAATCTGGAAATATTTTAACTTGCTGCAAGACAAATTATTCTTTTTTTATTTGTTTTGGTTAATCCTTACCTGGGAATATTTTTTTTCATTGATTTTTAGAGAGAGCGGAGGGGGGCATGAGAGACAGAGAGAGGAGAGAGAGGAAAAAACATCAATGTGAGACACATCATTTGATTGCCTCCTGTATGGGGCCCAACTGAAGGCCAGGGATCAAAACTGCTACATGGGTACATGCCTTTGACCAGGCATCAAACACATGACCCTTCAGTTGGTGGACCAATGCTCTAACCACTGAGTAAACCACCAGAGCAACAAATTATTCTTTAACTAGGTAGAATATTTATACTCAAATGATTACACAAGGCTGAATATTAATACCTTAAAAGATTACATCTGCCAAAGCCGGTTTGGCTCAGTGATAGAGCGTTGGTCTGCAGACTGAAAGGTCCCAGGTTCGATTCCGGTCAAGGGCATGTACATTGGTTGCGGGCACATCCCCAGTAGGGGGTATGCAAGAGGCAGCTGGTTGATGTTTCTCTCTCATCGACATTTCTAGCTCTCTATCTCTCTCCCTTCCTCTCTGTAAAAAATCAATAAAATATATATTTTTTTAAAAACCGATTACATCAGCCCAAAACTATCAAGAAGGTAATTTATTTCTTGAGTTTGGTTATAAACCTTAGCTCTATTTACAAAAATTCAGTAAGCTCGGCATCCTGAATGGGGATAGAACTTAATTTGTTTCTGCAGTGATTTGATTAAATACACAGGGGGAGCTGTATGGATTAATTGAAGAAGTGGTGGAATATCAGCTTTGGGAATGCACTCCAATCCCACTACGCTGCTAGATGAAATGATTTTGCTAGTTTTGGCTATGCTTCCAGTGATTAAGTATTTAGGAAACAGCTTAGTTTACTAAATACAACACATAACACACCTTCAAAATTTCTTCTTGCTTTTTTTTTTCAATAGCTAAAGTAAAATTTATTTTAGCCTGGCTTCTCCTGTAAAATTATTCAAAAAAAAAAAAAAAACCCTAAAAATTTAATTAGTTTCTTCCCTTTACATCTTCCCTCTCCCCCCCCAAAAAAAACACCGCCAGGGAACAGCACTATCCAACATGACTTGTATTTGAAGTCATTTCTTTAGTTTCTCTTAGCTGACATCTTACATGGAATTCAATACCTCAATTTAATCAACAGAAGTCAGGAGCAGCAGTAGGAGTCCCAGGCTTGCTTAGTGTAATGAAGCTCTCTGGGAATTCATTAGGGACTCCTCAAAACCATTCATCAAAAAGCTTTAGAAATTACATCTTGTAAGTTACTGAACCTAAGTGGTATTTAATTTTTAAAGTGCTTTCTCCACTCCCAGTTAGTTGGAAGCAAATAAAAAACAAAGCCTTGAAACTACACCCCTTCAGTATGATGATTTCTATTTTGAGCGCAAAATTATGAACAACGTTTATCTTTTTTTTCTTTCAACTTTCAAACTGTATTTTATTTTTTTAAATAAATCTTTATTGTTCATATTACAAATGTTCCTCTTCCCTCCCCCCCTCCATTCCTCTCCTCCACCAGGTTCCCACCCCACCCTCTGCCCTTTCCCCATCCCCCATTGTCCTCATCCATAGGTGCACAGTTTATGTTGTCTCTTCCCACATACTCCTTTCCCCTTTTCCCCAAGAATCATCAGTTCACTCCCCTTCCATACCTCTGATTCTATTATATTCAACAGTTAATATTGTTCATCAGTTCTTTTTTTTTTTTTAATTTCCTTGGTTTTTAGATTCACTTGTTGATAGTTACATATTTGTTGTTCATAATTTTTATCTTTATTTACTTTCTTTTCCGAAAGAACCCCCTTAAGCAATTCATATAATTCTGGTTTGGTGATGATGAACTCCTTTAGCTTTTTTTTATTAGTGAAGCTCTTTATCTGGCCTTCGATTCTGAGTGATAGCTTTGCTGGGTAGATTATTTTTGGCTATATGTTCTTACTATTCATCACCTTGAATATTTCTTGCCATTCCCGTCTGGCCTGCATGGTTTCTATTGAGAAATCAGCTGACAATCGTATAGATGCTCCTTTATAGGTAACTATCTGCTTTGCTCTTGCTGCTTTTAATATTCTTTCTTTGTCTTTTGCTCTTGGAATTTTAATTATGATGTGTCATGGTGTGGTCCTCTTTGGATTCCTTTTGTTTGGAGTTCTGTGAGCTTCCTGGACTTGTAAGTCTATTTCTTTCACCAGGTGGGAGAAGTTTTCTGTCTCTATTTCTTTCAGTATGTTTTCGATATCTTGCTCTCTCTCATCTTCTGGGATCCCCATAATTCTGATGTTGGTTCACTTGAAGTTGTCCCAGAAGTTTCTTACATTATCTTCAACTTTCTGGATTCTCTTGTCTTCTTGCTTCTGTGGAGGAGTATCTTCTGGCTCTTTATGTTCCAAATCTTTGACTTGATTCTTGCGCTCTTCCATTCTGTTTTTAGGACTCTGTATAATATTTTTTATTTCAGACAATGTATTCTTTATTTCTTGTTGATCCCTTATTATTTCTAGTTGATCCCTTATTATTTCTAGTTATTTTATTGGCCTTTTCTAGGAGATTCTTGAACAACCTTATAAGTGTGGTTTTGAACTCTATATCCAGTCGCTTTTTGTCCTCCATTTATTTAGTTTGTGATCTATTTCGTTGTCTTGACATTTTCACAGCTTCTCTGATGGGGCGGGGTTTCAGGGTGGAGCCTACAGGCTTGGCTTCCGTCAGCCACGCCCTATGGGCTCCTGAGTCTCAGTATTCCTCAGGGTCCTTCAGTACTCACTGCAAGCACCTCTTTTTGTGCTGCTACCAAAAATCGAGGTGCCCTCGATTTTTGCCTGCTACCAAACAGTCTAGGCTCTCCCCCAATGAGCCCGGAACTGGGATTCAGTTCAGTTGAAAGTAGAGTTGGAGGTGGCATTCAGAGCAGTCTGGAGCTTTTGTCTCCTTCCCACCAGGGCAATCCCGTGGCACAGCCAACCATCCCTTCTTTGCATGGAATGTGCGCACCTCCGGGACCTCCTTTCGCCACTCCCCTGGGGTTCTGCCTTGCAGCCCAGCTCCCTCTGTTTGAGCCTGGGTCCCCAGGGTCTAGCCTAGAACTGGGGTTCAGAGCAGTCAGAACTGGTGCCCAGCACAGTCTGGCGCCTTTGTCTCCTTCCTGCCAGGGCAATCCGGCAGCAGAGTCAACAGTCCATCCTCTGCGCGCAATATGCACGCCTCCGGGGGCTCTGCCCTTCGCCGCTACTCTGGGATTCCGCCTCACAGCCCAGGCTCCCTCTGTTTGAGCCTGGGTCCCCAGGGTCTGGCCTAGAACTGGAGTTCAGCGCTGTCGGGTCTGGGGTTCAGCACAGTCAGAGTTTTTATCTCCTTCCTGGTAGGGAACGCCAGCCAGGCACTCAGCCGCCCCTCCTCTCGGGCTCCGTCCTCTCTGCGCGCCGCGGGTCTCTGTACCTTAGGCTTTTACAGCTCCTCCGCGCTTCCTTCTGGTTTTCTCCTTGCTTCTCGTTGTAGAATTTCCAGTCAGTCGACTTTCCTGTAGTTCTGGGTAATGTCCATTTTATATTTTAGTTGTATTTTATTGAAATTGTTGTGTGCATGCCGAGACTGGTTTGGCTCAATGGATAGAGCGTCGGCTTGGGGACTGAAGGGTCCCGGGTTCGATTCCGGTCAAGGGCATGTACCTTGGTTGCCGGCATATCCCCAGTAGGGGGTGTGCAAGAGGCAGCTGATCGATGACTCTCATCGATGTTTCTAACTCTCTATCTCTCTCCCTTCCTCTCTGTACAAAATCAATAAAAATATATATATATATATTTAAGAAATTGTTGTGTGCAGCTGCGGCTAGGTATTTACCTGTGCAGCCATCTTGGATTCTCCTATGAACAACATTTATTTAACAATCTAGTGTGCTTTTAAGTAGACTTGTGATGATTAATCAAAGGGCAGATTTTGAGTTCTATAATATCTATCCAGTGGTAATATTCATCTATTCACTCAACAAATATTTATTAAACCCCTAATCTGTGATAGGCAATGCGGTAGGCATTAGAGCTACAGACACAAAAAACCTAAACAAAATATCTGCCCTTGTGGAGAGATTTTGTTTGAACTTGCTATTATTAGATGGGAGTAGTATCGTGTTTGGGTACTTGTACAAAACTTTGGGTGTTTTATTCTCACCTTTCATTTTCTTTTATTCTCGCCTTAGCTTCCTTTTAATTTTAATCTTTATCACACACACCATCCACCCACATGTTTTGTTATCTAATGAGTTCCCTGTTTCTTAACTCAATGGAAGTGTTTAAATTATGCATGAAATATAGGTTTTTTAATCCTCACCTGAGGATATTTTTTTCCATTATTTTTATTTTATTTTTTTAGGGAGAGTGGAAGGAAAGGGGGAGGGAAGAGAAACATCGAAGTGAGAGAGACATACTGACTGGTTGCCTCCCACTCTCACCCAGACCAGAGCTGGAGATGGAGATGGAACCTCAAACTGAGGTACACACCCTTAATGGGGAATCAAAGATCCTAGACTCTTCAGTCTGAGGCCTATTCTCTAATCACTGAACTAAACCAGGCAGGGCATACATAGAATGTGGTAATACAGTCAAGTTATCACTAATAATTCCAAAAATTAAATTAACTTTCCCCAGTACAATGCAACTTTCTTACCTCTTCAATACTTGCTAGCTTGAGGTGAGCAATAGCTTCATCTTTGGTGAGGAGAATGCAGTTCCAAGGGGACCACTCCACGGCCTTGTCCCACCTGACCAGGACCAGGTCGTTGAGGTCATTACAGGCACTGAGTGCTGACTGGGACACCCAGATGTTCTCTACTAGGTACTGAATATCTTGCAGCTGCATAGCAACAGAAGTTTGAAAAATGTTTTCTTATAAACATAAAAATTACTTATGATTACAATATTACTTAAGGAAATAATTAAATTATATTGAGTATATTTTTTAAAGAGAAATACTATTAGTGAGGTTTTCAGTGGCATATTGCTCATTTTTCACTAAATATTTGTTCATTCTGACAAAATTAGGCTATCAGTCTCACACTCATGACTGTACTTTTGACCTAGACCAAGCTATCTATATTCCTTCCAGTATGCTAATTTTACCTTACATTTACACTGAGTGACCAGATTATCATGACCTCTGAATGTATAATAATCTGGCTACTCAGTGTATATCCTATATAATAAAAGGCTAATATGCAAATTGTCCCCTCTACCAGGAGTTCAACCAGCAGGCAGTCCGACCAACCACCCATGTCCCTTCCCCCTGACCAGGCTGGCCAGACCCACCCATGCACAAATTAATGCACTGGGCCTATAATACACGCACAAACACACACACACTGAGTGGCCAGACTATTATGCATTCAGAGATCATAATAATCTGGCCACTCAGTGTATATGATAAGTATTTTTCAAAATGTATGAGTAGCTATCATCTTGTCCTCGGGGTTACTGCCTGTCATTTTATTCCCATTTTACAAATGAGGAAATTAAAATTTTAAAAAGCAATTTGCCCTAGCCGGTTTGGCTCAGTGAATAGAGCATCGGACTGCGAACTGAAGGGTCCCACGTTCGATTCCAGTCAAGGGCACAACCCCAGTAGGGAGTGTGTAGGAGGCAGCTGATCGATGTTTCTAACTCTCTTTCCCTCTCCCTTGCTTTCTATAGAAAATAAATAAAATATATTTTAAAAAATTAAAAAAGCAATTGTCTTAGTATTAAAAATACATTTTTTTGTTTTAATGAAGAAAGAAAGAAGGGGGAAATAAAATAACTTTAAAAACATTTTTTAATTTAAACCATATTAGCTAAGACTCTTGAAGCAACTTTTTCTCAAGAAGTCTACATATATAAATGTAGAATTTCCAGAAGCGCAAGCTTCAGAAAGTATAAGCAGAGGAGGTAAAATCCATTATTTTTAAAAGGTTAGGTGGAAAAGCAGGAATCTTGTCTGTAAATTTTCATCTATGATTGGCAACTCTCACTGATCATACCTGTATCAGGAAAGCAATTGTAGAATCATCTTCATAATTAACTTCTGAATAGTAGAGCCGCTTAAGTAAATATTTGTACTTCAAAAATGATTCCCGTTGTCGAGTCTCATTATCAAGGCTAATACAGTTACGACACCGATATACACGGTGTGCGGTGGATGATATAGCAAACTCTGTCGACGGTAAGTAGAGCTGGCAACTGTGGCAAAAGTAAATCTTCTTATAATATTTCAGTGGATCTTGAGGGACCTAAAGAGTAAAAATAAATACATATATTTATATTAATTATATAAAGAGAGTGAGAGAAAGATGTAAATAAAAACCAGGTCAAATACCACCCAAAAGAAGCACAGAGGGCTAACATCTTAGAAGGAGATAAAAAGTTGGTTAATTATTTTTAAAATATGCTTTTCTTGATTTCAGAGAGAGAAAGGGAGAAGGAGAGAGTGTTGCAGAATTTACCAGGTGACCAGAAAATACAGGAGGAGTATTGGAGATTCAGGAAAAACCCTTTATTTGAAGCAGCGCTGCTGGCTCAAGGATTCGAAGATCCAAAACCAGAACAACTTAAACAATGAGATTACTCCTTACATATATTTCTAAATTCTTTGTTTCCTTACTTCCAGGCTTCATGGCCCCTCCGGCCCCTCCGGAGTCCATAGGAATGGAGAAGTAAGATTACAGTTAAAGGCCTGGCCTGGGTGGTGCTAGTGACTCCCCTCTAGCTAAGCTGTTAACTTCTTGGTTGGTGGCCCTTGTAAACTGGGAGTGTCTAGACAAACAGATTATTGCCTAAGGAAGTTCTTTAGACTGACAAGAATGCACTAGGACTTCAGTCACTAGCACGGATGCAAACTGCTGGCTCCCCCTATATTGCTCCTCAAAGAGAGGGAAACATGATGGCAGCCTCCTGCTCACTCCCTACTGAGGATGGACCCCACAGTCCAGGGACGTGCCCTGACCTGACCAGGAGTTGAACCAGCGACCTTCTGGTGCTTAGGCCAAAGCTCAACAAACTGAGCCACACCAGCTGAGCAAAAGTTGGTTAATTTTTAAAGTCACACTTTCCCTTTAACTTCTTTTTATATACAAAATTTAAACTTGAAGCAGTATTTATTTATACTGCAAAAATATTAAAAACCTGTAGTATTCATCAATCTTTGGATAGATGTAGTGAAATCACATAGAAAATTAATTGACTGAAAGAAAATTAGAAAGTGAAGACTTTGGGTTGCAAAACAGTAAGAAAACCTTCCAAGTGCTTTGGCACTTATTTTTAAGAAGAATTTAGAATTTTGGTGTTATGCTACACTAATTAATCCTACAGGCAACTAGATTAACATATAAGTAAAAGCCCACTAAACCAATTGTTCTTATTCATTCAGCTTAACAATAAATTTGGATAGGCTCAATGATCAATTTTCAAAATTTGAAACTCTGTATCACATGGTAGTTCTATTTTTATTTTTTTGAGAAAACTCCATACTGTTTTTCCACAATGTTGGTACCAGTTTACATGTCCAGCGATAATGCACAAGAATTCCCTTTTCTCTATATTCTTGTCAAAACTTATCTTTTGTCTTTAGCACTTTGCAGTTTTGATTTGCATTCCCCTGATGACTGAGCACTTTTTATGTGCATGGTGGTCATTTCTCTATTCTTTGGAAAATGTCTCTTAAGGTCCTTTGCTCATTTCAAAGTGGATTAAAATTTTTTTGCTACTGAGTTGTAAAAGCTCCAGATAAATGGTTGGCAATATTTTCTATTTCATAGGTTGTCTTTCGCTTTGTTGACTGTTTCTTTTACTGTGCTTTTTAGTTTCATGCAATCTCATTTGTCTGATTTTGCTTTCATTGCCTTTGCTTTTGGTGTCATGACTAAAAAGTCATTGTCAAACCAACATCAAAAATCATTTTCCCTGTTTCCTCCCAGTTGATTTAGTTTCAGGTCCTACATTTAAGTCATTAATCCATTTTGAGTTGTTTTTTTTTATGTGGAGAAATATAAGATTCTAATTTTTTTTTTTTTTTGTATGTCGTTATCTAGTTTTCTCAGTCTTATTTATTGAAGAGACTATGTTTTTCTCCATTATGTTCTTGGCTTCTATGTCAAATATTAGTTGACCTTATATGTGTAGGTTTTTTCTGGCTAGTCTGTATCATTGATCTATATGTCTCTTTTTAAGGCAATACCATACTGTTTTAATTATATTATTATAGCTTTTAAATATAGTTTTAAATCAGAAAGCATCATGTCTCCAATTTTGTTCTTCTTTCTCAAGATTGTTTTGGTTACTAAGAATCTTTTCTGTGAAAAATGCCATTGGAATTTTGAAAGGGATTGCACTAAACTTGTAGGTCAGTTTGGGTAGCACAGACATTTTAACAATATTAATTCTTCCAAAAAGATTTAGTAATACAAAACAAACGCCAAAGCATGATCCATTTTAAAAATGGATAAATTCAACTTCATCAAAATCAAATACTTATGCTCTGTTAAAGATGTTGTGTAGAGAATAAAAAGCCACCCCACAAACTAAAATGAGGTATTTACAAATCATATATCTTACAAATGGCTTGTATGTGAAATATTCAAAGAATTTTCATAATTCAATGAATAAGAAAATAAATAGTCCAACTAAAAAAAAGAAAAGATATATGCAAACAGTTCACCAAAGAGATATATGTATGGCAAAAAAAAAAATGAATAAAAAGATGTTTATTAGTCACTAGGAAAATGGAGATTAAAAAATAATGGGATACTACTTCAAATCTGTTAGAATAAAATTAAAATAAAACTTGATAATACCAAGTGGTAACAAAGAGACAGAACAACTCTCATACATTGAGATGGGAATACAATATTGTACAGCCAGTTTAGAAAAAATGCTTGTCAGTGTCTTATAAAAGTATATATGCATTTACCATATGATTCAAAATATCCCACTTTCTAGGCATTTAACCCCAATTAATTTACACAAAAATTCATTATCAAGTGTTTGTAGTTATTTTATTCACAAAACCACAAAACTCTAAACAAATCAATGCTCTACAACTGTGAGTAGATAAACACTGGTACATCCTGACAATAAAGATACAAACCACTGATATACTGAAAATCATAGGTAAATTTCAAATGCAATATGCTAAATAAAGGAAGCCAATCTCAAAAGACTACATGTTGTTTCACTTCTATGACATTCTGGGTTTGGTAAAACCATAAAAACAAAATGCAGATCAGTACCAAAGGTTACCAAAGGTTAGGGGCCAAGGAAAAGGTTGACTACAAGGTAACAGCAGCATGAGGGAATTTGGGAAGGTAATATGACTTCTTTAATCTTGACTGTGCTACTGGTTATATGACTCTCTGAGTTGGTCAAAACTCACCAAAAAGAGTGAATTTTACCAAAAGTAACTAACAAAGTGAATAAAACTATATAATGTTATGTATAGAATATAAAATTCTATTATGTTACTACAAACATATAAAAACTAAATAAGTCTATAGAAAAGGCTAGAGGTTAGCCTAGAGACAAATGAAACATTGATTTAAATTTAAAATAATAAAATGGGAAACTTTTCTCCTGAATTTTTGTTATATCTCAATATTCTCTTCCAATACAATTACATTTTAAACATTCATTTAAAAATAAAAATATAAAAATTAGATAATTTTCATTTTTATAAACATTTTGATTAACAATTAAGATATTTGTATGTCAAAAAGCAAAACAGATATTCAGTCAGCTTCTTAAGTAAATTACAACTCTACAAATAATCACTGGAATAAAACACTATTTAGAATTCTTTAGTAAACTACCCCTAAAAATATTTTAAACAGTTTTGTACAGTAAGAAGACAATCAGGCATTTATCTTAGCTTCAGAAAGCAAAAGCCCTACTGAAACCTAAACATGCTGGAGTTGGAGAAGACAGTTTAATTCAGACACATGTTACAGGATAGCTACATGGATTAGAATTCTAAGGGAACGCAAACCAGGTGCATGTAGAATCTCAGAGATGCAGGATCTCTAAGGCCTCATGAAGGAGAGACATGTGAACTGAGTCTTAGGAAATGAATTAGGATGTGGCTGGTTGAAGGAGGCAGACAGCACTCTAGATGGAAGTAACAGTACGTGCAAAAGCATGAAGGTGTGAGAGGTCAACATAGTGCAATATTTAACTAGAAATTTGATTCAGATATTAGGGAAGAAGTCAAGATTGGAAATACACAGAAGGTAAATGTTTAATTCATCAACACAAAAAATAATCATTCAAAAGAGATTTCACAATAAGATGGTCTTGCACATGGACCCCAAATAAAGTGTTAAAGCAAACTTTGAATAGTCTTTCATTTACTATATCACATCCTAGAATTTTGAGAAAGTGATACGGGAAAAAATTGAGTACCTTAAGGTGTCTTGCAACTTCTGCATTAAACAAAGGTGTTTTGATGTAATGAAAAAACAATGTCACAATTCTCTTTCTGAGCCCTTCAAGGTTATCATCTTTGACTCCTCTCATCATAAGGTCAACCTCTCTGTCAATCAATTCTAGAATTTCCTGAGTCAATTTACATTCATGTTCCTATTTAAGACACATACAAAAATATTCAGTATAGAACTTTAAGAATCAGTTTTTTAAATTACCACCGAAGAAACTAAAATGAGACTCCAGAAGAAATGAAACATCACTGATAACAATATAAACTGGCACGACTAATTTGGGGGAGGGGGGGAAATGACATTATCTAGTAGAGTTTAAGACATGCACAATCTACAACCCAGCAATTCTGTAAGTGCTTTAGAGAAATGTGCATATGGAGTCATTGTACACAGTGACTCCAAAGTAGAAAATAGCCAAAGAGCCATAAATAAGTTAATTACGTAAATAAGTGATAGTTATATACCAGAATATTATCAGATGTAAGGAAATAATTAAACTATAGCTATATGCAATAACAACTTTCAGTCTTACATATTAATGTTGAACAAAAGAATTAAGGCACAAAATAGTACATATAGAATCATCCCATTTAAATAAAATACAAAAATAAGCAACAGAACCATATTTTTTTTAGAAATGTACACAGAAGTGGTAAAATAAAGAAAAGAAATTACCACTATGAAAGCCAGTGTGATGTACTGCTAGCTGATAAGAGGGTGAACTGCCATAAATAGAAAGTGGGACACCAGCAATGTTGGTTCTATCCTGTTTTGGATCCAGAAGGAGGTTACATGGTTGATGGCTTTATGTTCGTTAGACTGCACATACATGTCTTCACATATTGTCTGCATGCTAATATAATTCACAATAATTTTTAATAAAGTAATAGAAATGAGTATGGCTAAATAAGAAAGCCCTAGGTAAGAGTTAAGTGATTAAGGTAGAAGGATTGATAAGTAGTCAAATACAAGTTGCTCCAACTGCCCCACAGAGGATCATGAGAAATGAGTGAGCCAGTTACCAATTCTCTTCTGTACTTTTTAATAAATTCTTGGCATAGCTAATATGTGAGTCTACATCAGTGGTCCCTGAGCCTGAAGGCACATTAGAAGGACCTGGGGGAGGGTTAAAGATGTTAAACATTGATTTCATACTTGAGATCTAATTTAACTACCTTGAAATGGAGCCTAAATATTATTTCTAATCATTCTCATATCCTCTTTCTTTCTGTGTGTAGGGGGGGGGGGGGCAGAAGGTCTATGTGTCTGTGTCTGTCTGTCTGCCACTCTCTGCTTTTCAAGCTCTCCAGATGATTCTAATGTGTACTCAGGTTCAAGATTCACTGGTCTATATTAGCAATTGTCATCAAAATATTACCTATTATTTAGTGAGGGATTTTTATTTGTAAGTACTGAGACATACAGATTATATTTTTATTTTATATATTTATATATATATATATGTATGTATGCACAAACATAGATATATTTATATCCTTAACTAATTTTATAAATTAATTGAAACTGATTTTCAGAAATATTAAGTAACTTATCTAAGGTTGCACAGCCATAAATGAATAAAAGCCAGAATTTGAATTGTTCTTGAAGGCCTCAATCGTCCATCATAATATCCTACATAATAAAACCCTAATGTGCAAATCAACCAAATGGTGGAATGACCAATGGAACAACCAATTACTATGATGCACGCTGACCACCAGGGGACAGACGCTCAACACAGAAGCTGTCCTCTGGTGGTCAGTGCGTTCCCCCTGTGAGAACGCCATTCAGCCAGAAGCTAGGCTTGTGGCTGGTGAATGCAGCGACCCTGGATGGAGCCTCTCCCATCTTCCCTGCAGGTGGGCAGTAAGGAGCGAGGGGTCCCAGACTGCAAAAGCCTCAAACTGCGAGAGGGATGTCCTCCTGCTGGCTTAGACCCAATCCCTGGGGGTATAGGGCCGCCAGGTGGACATCCTCCAAGGGGTCCTGGACTGCGAGAGGGTGCAGGCTGGGCTGAGGGACCCCCCACTGCAGTTCATGAATTTTGTGCTCCAGGCCTCTGGTTCTTAAATAAAAGTACATGTGGGTATAATAGCTTAAACATGTTGTTGAAGAGATGAATAATTTATCTTTTATAAACCACCCTTTGTTTTTTAATTAGCCAGACAATGGTTCTAATTATGTTAGATAAAAGGATTTCTACTAGATTCCCCACGTGCACTCCCTTTTTAACAATTTGGATATCATGCTTATTTCCTACCTCTGGATCTATTGCTTCGCCCTCTCTTCCTAAGTACAATGGTATTTTAAGGCCACTCACTACAGGAACATCTTTGAAAGAGTAGTTCAGGACAAAGGCACTCAGTGCCTCTGCTCTCAAAATGGGAAGAAATGCGAGACCTGTGTAGACTTATCTCCCAATAAGAACCATTTACTCAACTACTTAATATGTCATAAGAACTTGGTGTATTTTGGTCTTGTTTTTTTCTCAACAGAATAACCTGTTCTTTGCAGTTAGGAAGCAAAGAACCTACACAAGGTATCTAAGCATTTTACTGATGAAATTCTTAGATTGCAATCACATGATTCTCCTAAATAGATTTTAATATAGCTGACAATTTTCAGTTATTATTTATAATGAACCCCTGTTTATAACTTGGATATCTATATCTATATGCTCTGAGAATTTGGCTCATATTGATAACCAAAATAGACACGCAATTCAGTTATCCAATCCATTGCCTATCTATAACCTTTATAATAGTTAAAACAGATGGTCATTCAGAAATAACTTATATCTTTATGCCATAAACTGAAGGTGCCTTATAAATTTAGTGAACAGAACATCATTTTCAGAAGCCAATTATTTTAGCTGAATTGCCCACTTAATTTACCTTTATTGACAAAAACATATGACCAATATTGCCTTCAATTTGAGTATTTCTTGGGAACTTGACCTGTGATATCTGTTTCATTTTCATTAAAAGCAGGACTAATACACACAAAATCAATATTAAATGAGGGAGAAAAACAAAAATACTTACACTAATGCTGCTTTAAAACTGCTAAAAATAAAATTTTCATTGACGACTGTCAAAACATAGAGACAACCCTAGCTTGTTTGGCTCAGTGGATAGAGTGTCAGTCAGCCTGTGGACTAAAAAGTCCCAGGTTCGATTCCAGTCAAAGTATATACCCAGGCTGCAGGCTTGATCCCCAGTAGAGAGTATGCAGGAGGCAGTTGATCAATGATTCTCTCTCATCATTGATGTTCTCTCTCTCTCTCTCTCTCTCCCTGTCCCTTCCTCTCTGAAATCAATTAAAAAAATATATATATGTTAAAAAAACAAACATATAGACAATAGCTGCTATTTTACTGAACTGAGTTGAATATTAATCCCATGCAACGTATTTGCATATATTTGCTTCACTGCATATATATAAAAATACTTTTACATTTAGAATGTCTATTGTGCTATTTTTACATTTATTATGTGCCATAATATATAGTTTGAGAACTTTTAGACAAATATCCATGCATAGACTATAATCTCTCCAAATTATACCAAAACAATATAGTTATTGACAAATTTATGTAAACATTTATCAATCATTTTTATAATTACTGAATGCAAATATCTTATTTATTTCACTCTACAATTTTTTTATTGATAGTGCTAAGAAAACCCCAAAACTAAGAGAGAGTTAATGTACCTTCACAGTATGTTTAAGTGTTAAGAGTACGTCCAGTCTCTCATCTTGCGAGAGATTTTTCAGCATAATGCACTTATAGATGTTTTGAAGCTCTCTGGCTCTGATGGTGAACTGTGTATCCATCTCAATTATTTTGCCATCGACTCTTCTCCATGTTTTCGGAGCTGAACACTTAAAAAATAATATTATAATTATCAGTTAGTTAAAGGCTAAAAAAATATAACCTTGTTTTTTCTATTAAAAGTTTACCTTAATTATCATGTGCTTTATAAATAAGAGTATCACTAAAACATCAGAAAATTAATTGAAGAATTTGGAGACCACGGGACAGTAAGACATTTTGGGGAAAAAATATGAGAGAGCTGTTCAGCATGTAAAGTATAAACGCTTCTACAGGATTCAGATTTTGCTACTAATTTGTACTAGCTGGTACTTTGAATGGCTTGAAGGGTGCATGAAAAAACTCATTACCAACATTTAGAATGTTTTTAAAAGTTATCTGCTCAGTTCAATTATACTGAGTTGTGTAAATATCTTCGTCGTGCCTTGGCAACTAAAGACCACCTTTGTTGGTGGAGCTATTATTACAATCCTCAATGGGTTAAGCCAAAAGAACTCTGTGAGTGTTAGTTTTGTTTCCTAGATAAATAAATCTACCAAAAGTTTACAATTCTTCACAAAGCAGATGTCCATAATGAAGCGGCTTTACTCAGCTATCTTAGCAGTTGCTATGGTCCTTGCTCCCTGATAATGGCTAAGAGTCTCACTTTTTATTTCCAAATCTGGCGTGGTACCTCCCAACTGAGCCCACCTCCAGAACCGAGGGTGAAAACTAGAGTTCACCTGCCCTGAAGTTCCTCTGACTACTTCCAGGCTAAGAATTCAGAGACCAGAGACAGGAAGTGGAGAAAGTCCTCCGCAACTCGGACCACCAGCACAGTCTTAATGACTAGTATTAAGTTTGGGTTTGCCAGCGCTCCTGTTCCTGCCTTTAAGATGCATTCACCTGGAAATTTCCCTGTGAAAACTCATAGTCTGTTTGCTCTTCCACTTTAAAGTAGAAAGCTGCTGTTTCTCTCCCTGATTGTACTCTATCAGGAACAAGGCTATCTCTCTTACCATGACTGTTAGTTGTTCAGATTTTGGAGGCTGATTGGTAATCGCTTTGGAGACCTGTAGTCCAATTGCCATACTTGCAACCATTGAAATATTAGGTTTGATATAATTTAGAGTTTAAATAAAATCCCAGGTGTTGGGACAAATTATCAGGAATGTAGTCTAGCCAAATGACAGTATTATGAGAAATTTATAGTTATAGCAACAATTTACCTTTTATTATTTTACATTTCATATTAGATAAATTACATTGAGAACTACAAAGCAACCTTTGAAAAAATATTTGATCCCTGGCTGGTGTGGTTCGTTTGGCTCAATGCAGAGGGCATACAGGCGACAGCTGATAGATGTTTCTCTCTCTCATTGACATTTCACTCTCTCTCTCCTTCTCACTTCCGCTCTCTATAAGGAAAATAAAAACATATTTATAAAAATATATCAACTATATTTGACATGATAATGACATCATTTTCTGGTTAAAGTGAAAATGAATCAGAACTTTTAGATTCTCAATTCTAGTTTTAATTCAGCAAATGTGAAGCATCAGCCCTATAATTAATTATATTTTAGAGCATAACTATAGTATTAAATAATGTATTATTCATTAGTGGGCTGATAGAATTAAGCAAATTTATTAAGAATTACAAAACATATATAGCTCAATAATAAAGTGTTTTATCACTTAATTATTATTAATTAGAAATAAAAATATTGTTTTAAATTGGATATAGCCTTGTATGGGATAGCCTCAGAATGTTATTAAAGTTTAATGCTTGTTTCAAAGCTCTTTTTAAAAGTTTTAAGGAATAAGCAATCTTAAGATAAGTTTTCTATTGCAACATTCTAAAGTCTAACTAATTTAATATGCAATTTTCCTCAGGGTGGTTCTGTTAAATGTAATCTTCAAGGAATGTGGATGATACCTTTTGCTCTGCAGGCTGATAATTTATTTCATTTGTAATAATCCATGTATATTAACCTTTTAATGAAATACCTAGTGTAAGAAATATGCCTCTGATTCATCTTCAGAGAAAAGAAACAGCATGTGGCCAGGCAGTGACTGAATTTCCCCAGAGCAAACAGGGGGTGGGGTGTGGGGAGAAGGTATGAGAGCTGTGCACAGGGCTGACAGCACATTTCCCTGCAAGGTTCCCCTAAACAAAGGGAGGTGCAGATGGCTAGAAAAGTCTCAGCACAATGTTTTAAATGGCCCAATGGGAGACAACAAGACCTAGGAGGCATATTAAGAAACAGATGACCAAATAGTACACAGCCAATGAGGAACCGGATGAGGAACTAGATAAATAGGCCATGTTCCCTCCCCCATGTGTTTTCCTGTACAATGGGCACCCATTGTCCAGAGTATTATTAAAAGTCTCATTTTCGCCATGTTTCTGTTTCCCAGTCCGTCATTTGAAATTCGGACAGGTGAGCCATTTCTCACACCTACTTTATCTACTACATTGTATTTTATCCAGCTGGTGGGTTGGTTTAACTCTACCTTACGTCCAAGTTTTTAGCCCCATCTAAATAGGATGATACAGTAATATCTTGAATTTTTCCAAATATATATTCAACATTCTGAATTTAATTTTCAGTTCAAACTCTATTCCTAACTACTATGGTCTGAACCAATAAAATTACTAGTACCTGAAATCTTATTTTACTTTAAACACACACACACACACACACACACACACACACACAGTATTTTTATTTCAATTGCTCGGGACAATAAAATTTGTGTCCAAATTGTTCTATAATTATTTTATGTTTGTTAATTCTATATCTCCCCAAAGATTATAAGAATAAATGTTTCAGTTGTGTATATGTTACAGGGCTAACAGTACTCATTAATTCAACCCACTAATATTTATTGTGTTTACTGTACATCCGTCAGCACACTAAGTATCTAGTAGATAAAATATTGTCCTGATTTCAAGGACTCTCAAATCTAATGAGATATAAGAAAATAAGTAACAAAAAAGAATTATGCTTGATGATTGCAGGTAAATAAGTAATTAACTGATGAAAAAAATAGAATCTGAGAGGAAACCCGAAGAAAAACTAGGAGGTAGCCAGAGTAAAAGGAATAATGAGTGATAGATACAAAGAATCCTAGATTTGAAGTTCAAATTCCCTGGTGTTGGCACTGCAAAGATATTAAAAATCTGTTTGGCAAAGCTTTTTTATACCGGATTTATTTCTGCCAACACTGACAATTTGGTCTTCAAACCTACGCTTCTCTGATTTCAGGCCTTAAGATGTTTTTTTTACTCTGATGTAGGAAAATGTCAACTCTGCTGATTTCTTTTTCCTGTTTCCTTTTTTCCTTTGAAAGCTTTGGCTGTACTAGGAGGTGTACAACAACGCTGTTCTTAAATTGGCTCTGAAAACAGGAGCGTAATAAATTCTACTCAGCGGCTAACCAATGAGATACCACGGATGCTGGAGGAGAGAAACAAAAGAGCAGCAGGGCCGAAACCGGTTTGGCTCAATGGATAGAGCGTCGGCTTGGGGACTGAAGGGACCCGGGTTCGATTCCGGTAAAGGGCATGTTCCTTGGTTGCGGGCATATCCCCAGTGGGGGATGTGCAAGAGGCAGCTGATCGATGACTCTCTCTCATCGATGTTTCTAGCTCTCTATCGCTCTCCCTTCCTCTCTGTACAAAATCAATAAAATATATTTAAAAAAAAAAAAAAAAAAACAGCAGGAAGACGCCTTTCAGGGAAGGGAAGGTGGAGAGAACCCTGAGCGCAGCAGGCTTCCCATAGGAGGAGAAATGACTGCGCTGTGAAGAGGTCTTCTCTTCCTCCTCAGTTAATACTGGGGTCCCTAAGGACACAAATTAGGAACAGCCCCAATCCGCCAATGGCTGCTGGGAAGTGGTCAGCTTTCCTTTCACAGCGAAGGGGTTGTGTTGGTCCTCAGAGGACACCCTCACACTGTGGAGCTCAGAGAGAGGGGGGACTCGGTTGCGTTTTCCTGTCCCATCAGCTGTTGGCCACCTGAGTAATGAGAAAAGCCGTGTAAATGACGCAGCTGACACAGGTGGCAGCTTTTTAGCTTGTGATGATGAGAAGTGGTGTGAAATCAAGAGAAGAACGAATAAATGGCCTCGGCTCTACAGAAAGCCTCTTACAAGGTGCAAACGGTCTCAGTACAGTTTGGATAAAAAGCACACAAGATATATTAGAAAACAGCTGATGATTTTTCTTTCAAATGTCTTGACCTGAATTTCTTCATCTCTGTTAACTTGTGAGTTTTTAACATTTGATAACCTGTGGCGGTCAATGTTTGATGTGTTAAAAGTACAAAATATTTAATTAATTCTTTATAAAAATCTTTGAGACCTAGCTGGTTTGGCTCAGTGGACAAAGCGTCAGCCTGTGGACTGAAGAGTCCCAGATTCGATTCTAATCAAGGGCACATGCCCAGGTTGCAGGCTCCATCCCCAGTATGGGGTGTGCTGGAGGCAGCCAATCAATGATTCTCCCTCATCATTGATGTTTCTATCTCTGCCTCCCTCTCCCTTCCTCTCTGAAATCAATAAAAATAAAAATTAAAATTAAAACTTTTGTTCCCTGAGGCAGTGAGGAGGGGCATGGCAGAGAGGTAGTTAATGAGGTCACTGTGGTAGTGGCAACAGTATGGATAATGGAGGAGGGAACTGCAAAGTGAGACTGGACACTGCGAGCCTAATTTGGGGACATAAGAGTAATCCAGAGGAGGAGAACATCACAATGATTTTAACCAGTGGCAAGTTCACACGCACAGGACATGCGTCTCATGACAGCCTCCTGTGGGCGAAAGGGCAGCAAGAGAGAGGAGCTGCCCAAGCACACTCTCAGAAGCCCCCCATCCCTCTGTGTTCCAGCAGGACCACAAGGCATTCCACAAGACTCAGAGTAGCTGCAGTTCTAGTCTTTGCCTATTTGGACACATGGGAAGTCATCAGAGTGCCATGAAGTAGCCATTTCCTTACATGCAGTGGTAGTGAGTTTAGAAACAAAGCAGTAAAGAACAGAGAAGACAATTAAAATAATAGAACAAACAGGTTAGTGGCTACATGGATGTCAAGAATAATACTTCCTGAAGCAACTGAGTAGATTGTGTAATATTCACAGAGATAAACGGTGTGAGTGCTACAGAACAGGATAAGTTTGGAGGTTGGGGTGAAGGAATGGTGAGATGATATGACTTAAAGATTGATGTGAGGTGGACTCTTGGGACATCCAAAGAGCAATGACAGTAGACAATTGGAATGTGATTTTGGGAGCTCCAAAGAGAGGTCTGGCCATTTTTTTACCATCACATATAGGGAAGTCCAGGATTCAGGTAGCAGTTAAAGCCAGAAGAAAAAAACTGAGATCAAACAGGAGAGTGTGCAGGTAAGATAAGAAGAAGGCATTTATAGTTTCAAAAATACACTAAAGTCCCTAGACTCCCTTCAGGCGAATATCTTGAAGAGCATATTCATTTCCTTGTAGCTGGTTAGCTTTTAATTGTTTACAAAGATCAGGTTTATAAAAGAAAATTGGTCTTTATGGAAACAGGCTCTTCAGTGTCAGACAGTGTCACCAAGAACTTAGTTTTTCCATTAATTGTATGTTTTCATGGTTTTCAATAACAATGTATCTTTTTGGTCAGAAATGTTCAATCAGTTAATGACCTGGTGAGCAAGAGGAAAAACACTAGTCTATAGCTATTTCCTTAGGTTGCTTACCCTATGGGCACACCAGAAAAGATAGTTTGTGAATTTCATACTCCATTTTATCAGGGGGTGCGATTCATCCAATTCCTATAGCCAGCCTAAAACTAAAGGAACAGTCACAAGGAAAGTGCTTCTATTTTTTCATTCATGGATGAATCCCTTTTGTTGAAAACACATTAATTTCATGTTACTTGTCCGTCACTATTCTAGGCCTATGGTCGGCAAACTGCGGCTCTTTGGCCCCTTGAGTGTGGCTCTTCCACAAAATACCGGGGCCTGGGCAGGCCTATTTTGAAGAAGTGGTGTTAGAAGAAGTTTAAGTTTTAAAAATTTGGCTCTCAAAAGAAATCTCAATTGTTGTACTGTTGATATTTGGTTCTGTTGACTAATGAGTTTGCCGACCACTGTTCTAGGCTACACTTGAAATGTAAAGATGCATCAAAAGTAAAAATAGAATTTAAAGACATATTACACCGAAATGCTAAATAAAATTCACACAAACTCTTAAAATGTAAATGTTAGTTGTTTTACACTAAGGACACACTGATGTTTAAACAAGAGCCGCTGCACTGACCTTATTCAAAAAAGCCTGTATGATGGCGTCCTGGTTTGCCATGAAAGCGATGTGTCTGTGCCTCCCAATGGAAGCAATGATTTGGGTCTCTTTTTCCAGAAGTTCGCACAAAGCAGCTTTCCTGTCAGCGCCACAGAGAACCTGGTTAATGTATTCCAGTTCTTCTTGTCGCCAGACTGGGGGGATAACATGAGAGACTCCTGAGGTTTTAAAATCCCACAGCTTTTACCACCACACCCTGACAAGCAGTCTTTTATTTCTGTGTCAATTTCAATAAAATTATACATGAATGGAATCATTCATAATGTACATCTGACATAGGAAAAAATGGGACAAAAAAAAAAAAAAAAAAAAAAAAAAAGCTGAGAGGCTTAAAGCAACAGAAGTGGTCAAACAAGCCAGAGGAAATCGGTGCCGAGAATGTCAGCGTGAGCCTGCAGGTAAGCTTGCTCACCGGTTCCTGCCACAGGCAGCAGGTCTGTCCTCATCCATGCACGTTCACCTAACCTCAGCGTGGCTCAAGATACCCGCCCCCCTGAACACATCAGATATGCTAAATGCTCCAGCCTTTTCTTATATACATCTCAGTCTCTCCTCTCCTAACCCACACTGGAAGTGGCTTCAAGGTATAGCTAGATCTTACCTTCACATCCTTTCTATTCTACTGGCTGCACCAAGAAAAAAAAAAAAAAAAAAGAATTTTTGTAACTTTCACATTTACTTCATTTCCTGTTTTCAGACTGAAAGCCCAGGGCCAGTATGTTAAAGGGATTGGGCCCGCAGAGTCTCTAAAAGCCAGAAATGGTACCTTGACCAAAAGGTAATAATTAGAGTCAAAAGACTCAGTTAACACAAGACAGAGCAAAGCAAAGGGTTAGAAGATCCAATTCAATACATATTTACTAGACATACTGAGCAAGGGCCTATCAGATGCCACAGGTGCAATGGTGAACAGTAAAAAGAATGGTGTGCTCAGAGAATAACGGAGCAGGAGAAGAGGCTGTGAGCTCAAGCCACGCAGTCGGGAGAGGCTGCTAAAGATGCTGGCCCCTATGCTGAGTCTGAGGTAAGAGTAGCCATTGAGAACAATGGAAAATTAAATAAATAAAGAAGTATTCACTTTTATTACTGAGGGACAGATTATCTGGAGGAAAAGTTAAAACTTTGTATTAGCAGTTGTAATTCAAACTATGTTATTGCTACTCTGAGCCACAACAGGGCAGTAGTTCCAAATACGTACAGGAATTAAGAATATGGATTGAAAATATATTATTAAGTAGGAGATAGGTATAAATTATTGAGTTTGTGAACCAGAAATTTTAATTTCAACAAAAAGGATTTTAAAATTATTATTTTAAGAGCTTAAATTTAGAATTTTAGGGATAGAAAAAAAAAAAAAAAAAACCCTGGGGGGGAGGTGTCTCTTTCATGCAAATTCCATTTGCTTCCATATAAAACATGTGTAAACAGCCAAAACCGGTTTGGCTCAGTGGATAGAGCATCGGCCTGCGGACTGAAAGGTCAAGGGCATGTACCTTGATTGTGGGCACATCCCCAGTAGGGGGTGTGCAAGAGGCAGCTGATCGATGATTCTCACTCATCAATGTTTCTAACTCTATCCCTCTCTCTTCCTCTCTGTGAAAAATCAATAAAATATATATTTTTTAAAAAAATGTGTAAACATAAAATATATTTGTTCTGCTCTAACATGGTATAAAATTATTTACCACATAACAGTAACTTAGACATGTATAGGTCTTTGTACTTTTTAAAAGTAGTTCCATAAATATAATATTTTATATTTTCTACTTTATAAAGTGAAGCAGATGAGTCCGAAATTATTATTTTACCAATGAAGAAGCTGAGGCTTAGGAAAAGTAACTTGTGCAAGTTAATCCCTCTAGTAAGCAGAAAAGATAGAACCTCATTAAGCATATTTCCTATTATTTTGCATAGTTACCTGTTAACCAAACAAAATAACAATGGTATTGTTTGGCTTATTCACCTATGAATTTGGCATGTTATTTGAATAGAGTTCTGCTCTAACAGAACTTCAGTTTTACAGTTATCAGTAAGACCTCTCACAGATAGCTGTTTAATTACTAACACTTAGAAATAACCTTTGTTTTCATCTGACAGAGCAAATGGAATAAGAAGCAAAATTTAAATGAAAAAAGAATTTGCACAGGTCAACGCTGAGGAGACAGGGGGCGCAGATGTAGGGATCTAGGGAGCAAGCTTTTGGTTCCATCCACCACATTGAGAGCTGCTCAGGGGGGCGTGTGAGGCACACTTATTAATGTTGCTGGTTGGACCCAGTGTTGAATTGTATCATCTTGAGGAAGTGGTGTCTTATCGCACAGCTATGTAAGTAGACACCTAAAATTATATTCAGTTAGAGCGGAAACAGTGACTTGAGTGATAGGACACATAATAATATGTACAAATAACATGTAAATAAAGTTACAGTAAAAAACTCTTGCTAAAAGTTAATGTTAGGGATCATCATAGGAATCATACTTTTATTTCTTTGGATTTAAAAAAAAAACAAACTGTTCAGCCGAAACCAGTTTGGCTCAGTGGATAGAGCGTCGGCCTGTGGACCGAAGGGTCCCTGGTTCAATTCTGGTCAAGGACATGTACATTGGTTGAGGGCACATCCGCAGTGGAAGGTGTGCAGGAGGCAGCTGGTCGATGTATCTCTCTCATCGATAATTCTAACTCTCTATCTCTCTCCCTTCCTCTCTGTGAAAAAATCAATAAAATATATTTTAATAAATAAATAAATAAATAAAATAAAAATAAACTGTTCAACCAAAAAAATAATAATAATTGAATTTTTTAATTCCTAAAATTCTTCTGTTATCACAAGCGCCCAACTTCCCCACCTTCTGGCACCTGAGGCAATAGAAAAACTCTTCTGTTCTAGTGATTCGCAGGTATTCCTAGGAAAGCAGAAGCTAGAAGGAGTTTCCCTTTCATTCATGTCTGCAGTCATTCTACCATATTTGTTGGGATATGAGCTAAACACGGATAAACAGAGAAGATTTTTTTAAAAGTAATTATTCTCTCCTGAAGTTTACAACTCAGTGGTGAAAATTAACATTAAGTAAGAGATTTATTACTATAAATTATGATGATGTGAGTGAAAAGTCTGGAGTGCAATGAGACATGAGATGCAATAGGATCTCAGTCACAAAAGGCTTGGATTAGATGACATTTAAACTGAGAGATGAGACAGGCTTCAAGAAAAACAGTGCGTCCACTGCTTATTTGAGTAACCAAAGCTTCTGATTGTGCCAGTGACCAGCATACATTGAATGAAAGAAATGAAGCAGAAAAGTCACATATTTATATATTATCACTGAATGGAGGGAATTAAAATATATTGCCATGCCCCTCGTCTAAAGGGACAAATCATAGTCAGGCTGTTGGACTAAGAAATTTGAGAAGACCCTAGCTGGTTTGGCTCAGTGGCTAGAGCGTCAGCCTGCAGATTGAAGGGTTCCAGACAAGGGCACATGCCTGACTTGTGGGCTCAATCCCCAGCAGGGGGTGTGCAGGAGGCAGCCAACCAATGATTCTCTCTCATCACTGATGCTTCTAACTCTCTCTCCTCCCCCTTCTGCTCTGGTATTAATACAAATATGTATTTTAAAAAATCAGAAAAGTTCAGTTCTGAGTTCAAATATTCCCAAGACTGTCAAAGAACCATACCGGACAATACTTTCTTTATAACACAGGGTTGAGGATCAAATGAGATAATATACTAAAACTGCACAATTTACCCATTGTTAATATAAAAGCATTTCCAATTTCATTTCCCCTTAATATCTATACCAAATGTAAAACATTATTCATCATTTTAAATTGTCTAATCTAGATATCCAAAGTACTTCCCCTAAGATAATAAAGTCTTCCTTTTGTCTTTAGTAGACCTGTTTTTCTTACTAATGAAAAATTCGTATTTTATGCAAAGCCTATTTTAAACTTACGTTCTAGTGCATTATAAAGAAGTTCAAAATCTTCTTTTGTTTTAGGATTATGCCTCCGCTGATAGTCCATTTTCAACCATTCTTCTTTTTCTCTTATCTTTCTTAGTTCTTCTTCTTCTTGCCACTTCAACTTTAACATTTTTTGTCTTCTTAGATTATCTACAAAGACTTTAGCATGCCATTTTCTATAGTAAGTCTGTAACACTATTACCTGTAGTTAAAAGGAAATAAAAAGTATCTACCATTAGCTTTATGAGTCAATAACAATGATTATTTTTATTCCAATTCAATAAATACTAAAACACTCTGTGTCTAGTTTTAGAACTAAAAGGTATTCTCACGTATGTCATATCATAATATGGATAATGCACATCAGCTATTTGACTTTGAAATCTAGGAAATACATCTTCATGGGAGACAGATAGTACAATACTTAAGAGCACAAGCTCTACAGAAAAACTCAATTTAAATCTTCCCTCTGCTGCTCACTAGCTGTTTGGTTTTGGGTAAGCTGCTTGCCCTCTCTGTGCTTTGGCACCCTTATTTATAAGACAGTGATAATAACAATATGCATCTAAAGTGCTTAGTTAGCTTACACCTGGCATATCTCAAGTTGTCAATAAATATTATTGTCATATTTTAATTATCTATATTATTATTGAATATCAATTATCTCTAGTTTATCATTTTGTCCTTAGCATCAGCTCATATTTAAAACAAAATTGAAGACCATAACTTTTTCTCATGAAATATATCACTCTAAGATAAGGCCCTTAAATCTCTTTTTTTTTTTTTTAAAGATAAGATCCAGAAATTTTGTTCACAAGAATTCCCATAAGGAAGAAAATTTGTATTTCCTAAACATATGGCAGGTAGGTTACGTGGCGAAAATCACCAAAGGCAGGCTAGATAAAAGGGAGATTTAAGCAAGCAGGTATTTATTAAATTATGAGAAATATAAATACGTCTAAGGGTTGCTATTGGATTCACAAAATACTTGCAATATAGTTGAGAGAGTTTCCATTTTTATTTACTAGACTCATAAATAAAAATAAAATGTGAAGAGGCTGGGTCAAGATTGAAGACAAATATGTTGATACATGCCTTTCCCCCCTTCTAGTCCCAGATAATTAGAGATAATTATATAAGCAGAAATAAGAAAAGACACTGGATCATGCTGAAGGAGTCCTCCAAAGGAAGAGAAACTTTAAAGAATCTCCTCAAGAAAGAAACTGGGTAGAATCGCTGAAGAAGGAGTCTAATCATACAGTGGACCGGCAAGTCACAAAATACAGAAATTATTCTAAGACTGCTTCAAGCCCCAAACCGGTGGATCACGTGAGCAGAAGAATCTCAGGGAAACTAACTAGGTGATTCTTGAAAAATGCAAGAGAGACAGGATCCTCTAAGACAATTAGTTAAAGAGCATCAGAGCCCTAGCTGGTTTGGTTCTGTGGATAGACTGTCGGCCAGCGAACTGAAGGGTCCCAGTTTCAATTCTGGTCCAGGGAACGTGCCCTGGTTACAGGCTCAACCCCAGTAGGGGGCTTGCAGGAGGCAGCCGATGGACAATTCTCTCTCATAATTGATGTTTCTATCTCTCTTTCCCTCTCCCTTCCACTACAAAATCAATAAAAATATATTTTTAAAAGCAACAGAGGTATTTGCCTCTGGGCAAATACCCAGAGGCTCATGGCACCAGGGTGAATAGAAGCGCCCTCTCACAAAACCAGTTCTCTCCCAGAATCAAGCCTTGCCCATCCCCTAAAGCCACTGGGTAAGGCTGTAGTAAAGAAATATGTTGTAACAGTGGACATCAGAAACCTCAAATATTCTGAGGACACACCCAAGAAAAACAAAACATTTAAGAAAAGCCAACAAAATAAAAAGTGCCTCATTCAACAAAGAATAATTTACATTTGTAAAATGGCAAAGATGAAAAACAGAGAGAGGGAATGTTCTAAAATTGATTGTGATAATGGTTGAATAATTCTGTTTACATAGAAAAATCTTTTAACTGTATGCTTTTTTTTTAAAAGATCCACTGAAAATTTTATACTTAAAGACTAGAGGCCCAGTGCAAAAAATTGTGCACAGTGGGGTTCCTAGGCCCGGCCGGTAATCAGGGCCTATGCAGGCCATCTCTCCCAGTCTCAATCAGGCTGGGCTGGCTGGGGCCTGCCAGCTGCTGGCCAGGGCCTGAGACTGCCAGCTGCTGGCCGGGGCCTGCCAGCTGCTGGCCAGGGCCTGAGACTGCCAGCTGCTGGCCGGGGCCTGGGGGCCTTTTGGGGTCTGGGGCCTGCTGGGACACCAGACAGATTGCCGGTTACTGGACAGGGACTGCCGGACCAGGCCTGCTGGATGGGGAGACGGACTGGGGGAGGTTGCCTGTCTGTGGGAGGTTGGCTTTGGGAGCACACTGACCACTAGGGGGGAGCTACTGTGTGGAGCATCTGCCCACTGGTGGTCATTGCATGTCACAGCGACTGATTGACTAGTTGTTCTGATCGTTCTGGTTATTCAGTTGTATCAATCACATAGGCTTTTATATATATAGATATTAATTATGTCAATAAAAAACTAGAAAATAATAAAAATGGCAAACTAGAAAAATATTTAACATAAAAGAAAGTGGTAAAGGAGGAACAGATGTACCGGAGAGATACAGGACTGTAGACAATAGCAAAATCATGATATAATTCAACCTTCTCAATAATTATATTAAGTATATGAGTACTAAGTACTCTAGTCAAAAGGCAGAAATTACTAGATTGGATAAAAAGATAAGATTCAATTATATGCTGTTTACTAGATATATACTCCAGATACAAAGTCTCAATTAGGTTAGAAGTAAAAGGATGAAGAAAGATAAGAGTATGCAAGCATAATATAAAAGAGTTGGAGTGGCTATACAAATATCAGGGAAAACAGATTTGAATATCCTTTTGTTTTCAATTAGTCTGGAACCCTTCTTATGTGATCATTCTGTCACGGGGAGTAAGGCCAAGGAATAGAGGGAACCGAGCTCATAAATGGCCAAACGCAACTCACAAAGTCCTGGGAATTCCCTCAGGGAAAGAGAAGGATTCTGGCTCCTTATACTGGGGGCAGATTAACGCCAACAACTGCTTTTACTACAATAAATAAATAAAACATGGCTCATACTGTCAAAGACTCTCTCCTTGACCAAATTATAATCAAGCTCCTCTAAGGCTCTTTTTCAACTACACCTTGACATTTGGGCTTCTGTGTTCAGCTTTGCATTTTTTCAATTTTATTAAGAATTCTGATTTAAAAAAAAAAAAATCCTGCTAACTCAGTTTAATCAGAATCCCCACCCTCAATATCTGATCACTCTCCATATTTGATCCAGTTCCTCATCTTCCACCAGCCCCAGATGATGCCTACTCACTCTGGCCAGAATGTTTTAGCCAGAATCCCCTTTACCCCTGATGTTTTCTCATAGTAATTTTCCATCCACCCCTTCTTTGGCTATAAAGTCCCACTTTTCCTGCCGTATTCAAAATTAACCCTAATCTCTTCCCTCCATTGTAATAGCCCCTCTTGAATCAAATCTGCCCTATCATCTTTAACAAATATTGTAATTAGTCTTTAACAACATTCACATGGGTTCTTCCCATGCAAGCTAGTGTGGCTTAAGCAAAGACATAGATATGCACAGAGCAATTGACTCACATATTAAATTTTTAGTAACCACCCATAATAAAAGTTATCTTACCGCATTTAATCTTCGAGCATGATATTCTCTTGCTGTAAAATATTTTCCTGGTTTTAGCAGTTTATCAGTCATATTTGAAACATATACACCAATTTTAGTCATCTGTGTGGATGTTGTATTTGTAGTTTGTTGGAGCTTTTTTCTCTGAAAAACTGTCTAAAATTTAAAAAAAGATTTAAATAAATATCTACTCTATACACATATGAATGAGTAAGAGCATATTCTCCTACATATTTGTTATTTATTCATTATTTTAATTGCCATATAATGCCTTAGAAAACTTTTATTTTAGAGAGGAATACAGCATAACATGTGTTTATTCTATAGCTTTAAAAACCTATAAAGAAAAAGAAAAATACTACCTGGGTATCCCTACAAAATAAATTGCCTTTTCCAGGAATCCTTTTAGGTACAGTTTGGGTTCCAGCATTGTGATATTCTATTCCAGTTAGTTTATGTCTGAATCCACCAAGAAATGGTTTGTGAAAGTCAGATTTTATAATTTCAACAGCTATACACTGGTACTGATTAATGCCTGAAGAGATAAAACCAAGACTGAATGGAAGTTCAACTACAAAATGACTCTAAAATGCTTTTATCTAAAAGATATAAAATAACTAACCAGTTTGTATTCTGACAACTATGGTTTCGGGGTCATGTAATCTTTTTATTCTTTTGATTGGATATAGGTCTGGAAGAGTGGAATAGATATCCACTTGTACAGTGTCCTGTGGCTTAACTCCATATTGTAGTAGAGTCTCATTATTTTTAAGAATCTTTCCTAAAATGAGATAAAATTATATATAAGAAGTGTTATGACAAAAAAAAGAAAAGAAAAGAAATATATACTCATTTGAAGGGGCTATAAATACATGTTGTTTAATTACCAAAATATTGATTAGTATCAAGTGCCAAGTATTAATGGTGTCCATCTCTTGCTATAAAGTGAATACAGAACACTCTGCAGTGGGAAGAGTCAAGGTGGTATCCCGAACAAGAATTCAGCATTCTAAGTAAAGCTACAAGTCTTAACTCTTCAGAAATGCAAATATATAATAACCATGCAACTCTGTAAACATTTGAACATTTTAAAAACCTATTTTATAAATAAGCAAAATCATACTCTAAATAATAATTCTGTAAAAAAAAAAAATGATAGTGTATTATATGTAAGCTCCAGACCTAGCATATCCGAGAAAACCTAATACTCACCTCTCTCTCCAGCAGAAAAGTATACAATCAAAATTCTAAAGAATCCCTTCCTGTCCCTGTTTCTATAATCAGAAACTCATACAAATTAATTAATGCCAAGAAGGAGCTAAGTCTCACTTTTGTGCTTGGAAAAGTATAGTGCACTTTATTTTTACGTTGTATTGCTACTACCTCTTCCTTCTCCCCATTGGTTTATTCTATAAATTGATTCTAATTTTATTTCTCTATTTTAAGGCATACAAAAATATGTATAATGTTACTGGCTGCAGTTTTGTATCATGGAAACTTTATTGATAATACCCATACCAATTTTCCAACATATAATCTTCCTAATTACAATTAATAAGTTAAGCATAGCAAAGTTTTTTGATATACTCATTCTTAGAAATATATCACATATCACCACTAGCCTTTTAAAAATGATAATTATCAATATTTTTTATTTTTTTCAACTACAGTTTACATTCAATATTATTGTATACTAGTTGCATGTGTACAGAATAGTGGTTAGATAACTATATACTTTACAAAGTGTTCCCCCTGATATTTTTAGTACATCCCCCACTGCCCCCCCCCTCCCCGGCACCATACATAGTTCAAGAAAGCACAAAAATCACTGAGTTTCTATATTCACCCTCAACTCATAATTTTAAAATTAACATAAATGCTATGGGTTTTTGTGATAGGTTGAGATAATGGTCCTAATCCCCAGAACCTATGACTGCTACCATATATGGGAAAAGTGACTGTTAAAGTTTTTGAGATGGAGAGATTATCCTGGATTGTCCAAGTAGGCCCTAAGTATAACCACAAGTGCTCTTTATATATATTATATATATATAATATATATAATTGATTTTTTTTTACAGAGAGGGATAGAGAGTTAGAAACACCAATGAGAGAGAAACATCGATCAGCTGCCTCTTGCACACCTCCTACTGGGGATGTGCCTGCAACCAAGATACATGCCCTTGACCGGAATCGAACCTGGAACCTTTCAGTCCACAGGCCAACACTCTATCCACTGAGCCAAACCAGTTTTGGCACCACAAGTGCTCTTATAAGAGGAAGCAAGAGGGAGGTGTGATTGCAGGGGTGAAGATGACAGGAAAGAGCAGAAAGATGTGAGGAGGCCATGCTGCTGGCTTTGATGATGGAGGAATTTGCCAGGAGCCAATGGCAAGGAATGCAACTCTAGAAGTTAGAAAAGGCAAGGAAGCAGAATCTTTCCGGAACATTTAGGAGAAGAGCCCCGCTGACACGTCTGTCTGAGTGAAAGGGAGCGAGGACTTCTGGCCTCTGGGGCTGTGAGAGAAATAATGTGTTGCATTAAGCTACTAAATCAGGGGTTGTTATAACAGTCATGGGAACCTAATACAGATGCCCAGAGCCTTTCATTCCTCTCCTTGTTTCTGTAATAGGCTTAGTCCCATACCAAACTTGAATTCCAGTTCTAGTACCAGAAGAAAGCACCTATCTTAGAAGGTGGTTAGTTGACACAGAATCCAGCATTTTCGTTATTATTGCTACTGACATAAGTCCGGTAGTGATGCTGAGTACTTACACATGAAGGAAAAAGGCCATGAAGTGCAAAGAAAGAGGGTCTATGGTACCAGTAGCCAACTTCTCCAGTGCTCTCTCCTCCAGCTTTAAATTTCACCTTATAATTAATGCCACACAGTTTCAAGTTCCCTTTTTGGAGTTAGAACTATATTTAAGTTCAGACTCTGCCACTTATTAGCTATGTGAATTTATGTGATATGAAGATAAACCTGAGCTTTAGTTTTATTCTTTTAAAGAAAAAATTCATGCCGAAACGGTTTGGCTCAGTGGTAGAGCGTTGGTCTGCGGACTGAAAGGTCCCAGGTTCGATTCCGGTCAGGGGCATGTACATTGGTTGCAGGCACATCCCCAGTAGGGGGTGTGCAAGAGGCAGCTGGTCAATGTTTCTCTCTCATTGACATGTCTAGCTCTCTATCCCTTTCTCCTCTGTAAAAAATGAATAAAATATATTTTAAAAAAGAAAAGAAAAGAAAAAATTCATAATAAAGGATTGTTGTGTGAACAGGATGATATTGTGATAATGTAGGCAGCATATTTTGTAGGGCTATCACATAGCAAATGCTCAACAAATCAACCATCATCATCAACATGATCATGATTGTCATCACTATTATTATTATTACTGCATAAATTTTAGCTTTGTTTCCCCAACCAAACTTTAATAATCAGTTGCTTGAGTACACAAGCACTATTCTATTCAAGTATATTGATTATAATAGTTTTAGAAAACAATTTTGAGGCTGAAACCGGTTTGGCTCAATGGATAGAGCGTCGGCTTGGGGACTGAAAGGTCCCGGGTTCGATTCTGGTCAAGGGCATGTACCTTGGTTGCGGGCACATCCCCAGTAGGGGGTGTGCAAGAGGCAGCTGATCGATGACTCTCTCTCATCGATGTTTCTAACTCTATTCTCTCTCCCTTCCTCTCTGTAAAAATCAATAAAATATATTAAAAAAAGAAAAAAAGAAAAGAAAACAATTTTGAAATTGAACTGATTTGGCAAGGAGAAACTTGATATGAATAGCACTTTATAGTGCTTAGGATTTTCCACACACAAAAAAGTTATGGTGGCACCTTTGTAAGTAAAGACAAGACGTTTTTAAGCTAAAATATTAAGATTTGCTATGGGACACAGCGAAAGGAGTCTTGAGAGGAAAGTTCATAGCACCATAGGCCTAACTCAAAAAATAAGTAACTATTTAACCCTAAAAGTTACCGTATTTTCCGGTTTATAAGACGACCCCCCCTAATTTTACAGTTAAAACATAGGTTTAGGCCTATATTTGCCATATAAGACTACCCCCCACTTCCGAGGCAACAGTTCTTTTTTCAATAGACCGCCTCTCTGACTCTGGCCAATCTGAGCAGGCTTTTTTTTGTTTCAAAAGTCGTCTTATACGCCGGAAAATACGGTAAACAATTATAAGGAGAACAAGAAAATCCCAGAGTTAAATAAAAGGAAGGAAATAATAAAGGTTGGAGGGAAAAAAATTACATAAAGATTTAAAAAATATAAAAATGCAAAAATTTAATGAAACCAAGAGCTGGTTCTTTAAGAGGATAAACAAGATTGATGAACCTTTAGCCAGACTCATGAAGAAACAAAGAGAGAGGACCCAAATAAATAAAATCAGAAATGAAAGCAGAGAAGTAACCACCAGACACCACAGAAATACCAAGGATTGTAAGAAAATACCATGAACAACTATATGACAAGCTGAACAATGTGGATGAAATGGACAAATTCCTAGAAAACTACAATCTCTCAAAACTGAATCAGGAAGAATTAGAAAACTTGATAGACCAATAACAACTGATTAAATAGAAGCGGTAATCAAATAACTCCCAGCAAACAAAAGCCCGGATCCAGATAGCTTTACAGGGGAGTTTTACCAAACATTCAAAGAAGTAACACCAACTTCCTCAAACTATTACAAAAAATCCAAGAGGAAGGAATATTTCCAAGCTCTTTTTTATGACGCTATCATTATCCTAATTCCAAAACCCTTGGGGGATGTCCAGCTGCCCATTTAAGCCTGGAAGAGGGCAGTCGGACATCCCTCTCACAATCCAGGATGGCTCCCAACTACTCGGCTGCCTGCCTTCCTGATTGCCCCTAACCGCTTTTTCCTGCCAGCCTAATCACCCTTTAACCACTCCCTGCCAGCCTGATTGATGCCTAACTGCTCCCCTGTAGACCTGGTCACCCTAACTGCCATCTCCTTAAGGCCTGGTCACCCCTAACTACCCTCCTCTGCAGGCCAGGTACCCCCAACTTCTCTCCTCTGTAGGCCTGGGTCCCCCCAACTGCCCTTCCCTGAAGGCCCGGTCACCCCCAACTTCCCTCTTCACCAGCCTGGTTACCCCTAACTGCCCTCCCCTGCAGACTAGATCACCCCCAACTGCCCTCCCTTGCAGTTGGGGGTGATCTAGTCTGGTCCCACCCAACTGCCATCCCCTGGTGGCCTGATCACCTACAACTGCTCTCCCTTGCAGGCCTGGTCCCTCACAACTTCCCTCCCCTGCTGGCCATCTTGTGGTGGCCATCTTGGGTCCACATGGGGGCAGGATCTTTGGCCACATGGGTGCAGCCATCTTGTGTGTTGGAGTGATGGTCAATCTGCATATTACTCTTTTATTAGATAGGATAGAGGCCTGGTGCATGGGTGGGGGCCAGCTGGTTTGCCCTGAAGGGTATCCTGGATCAGGGTGGGGGTTGCCTTGGGGTGAGAAGCTGTCTGGATGAGGGGCCTGTGGTGGTTTGCAAGCTGGCCACGCCCCCTGGTGACCCTGGTGTCTGGAATTTATTTCTCTTCTACAATTGAAACTTTGTATCCTTGAGTGGAGGCCTGGACCCTCCAGGATATGTGGAAAGCTTGGCTTCCTCCATTGCCAGGGAAACTCAAGCCTCCCTCCTGCTCACTCTGTGGCCACAGCCATCTTGGTTGGGATTAATTTGTATACTTGCTCTGATTGGTTGGTGGGTGTGGCTGGTGGATGATGATTAATTTGAATATTACTCTTTTATTAGATCGGATAGTACTGGAAGTCCTTGCCATAGAGATCAGACAAGAAGAAATAAAAGGCATCCAAACTGAGAAGGAGAAGGCATCCAAATTAGAAAGTAGGAAGTAAAATTCTCATTACTCATAGGTGACATGATATTGTACATAGAAAACCCTAAAGACTTCACCAAAAAATTGCTACATTTAATAAATGAATTTGGAAAGGTAGCAGGATACAAAATCAACATCCCAAAATTGATATGTGTTTTTTTATGTACCAATAATGAGTTCTCAGGAAGAGAAACTAAACCAACAATCCCACTTACCATTGCAACAAAAACAATGTAAGATACTTAGGAATAAACTTAACCAAGGAGGAAAAAGACCAGTGCCAGAAAACTACAGGATGTTGAAAAACTGATGAATGGAGTGAATCCAGAGACATGGAAGCATGGAACAACAGAGTACAGAATCTCGGAGGGAAAACAGGAGAGGGGGGGTGAGAAAAGATCAACCAAATAAATTATACGCATTTATAATTTATTGGGCACAGACAATAGGGTGGCAAAGGCCTGGGGCAGGGAGTGAGGGTAGGCTAAAGGGGAGTCAATGGAGAAAAAAGAGGGACATATATAATACTTCCAACAATAAAGATTAAAAAATAAAATATTAAAATTTATGCAGACATAGACATAGTCTATAGAAACATTTATTTAGCTACTAGAGGCCCATGCACGGATTTGTGCACAGGTGGGGTCCCTCAGCCTGGCCTGCAGGAACTGGACCAAAACTGGCTCTCCAACATCCCCCAAGGGGTCCTGGATTGCAAGAGGGAAGCTCTTAGTTGACACACCCTAAAATTGGGTTCTCTCCTCTCTGGTTCCTGGTGTGTCACCAGAGAACCACAGCTGCCAAGTCACCACAGCTCAGCAGCTCCTGTGTTGAGCATCTTCCCTGTGCTGGTCAGTGTGCATCATAGCCACCAGTGGTTTGGTTGACCAGTTGTAACTGTCACTTAGGCTTTTTATCCTATCAAATAAAAGAGTAATATGCAAATTAACCATCACTCTGCAACAAAATGGCTGCACCCATAGCTACAAGATGGCAGGGCCCTGTCCTCTTAGCCTTGCTGAAATCCCCAAGTCTGCCCAGCGGCAACAGTCCAGGTTGTCTAGCTGAGAGACACCTGCCCCCACACAGCAATCCCTGCTCAGTGGCGGCAGCCCAAGGTATCTGGCTGGGAGGCGCCAGTGCCAAGTGCAATCCCTGCCAGCAGCGCAGCATGGGCTGGGATCTCAGGCCAGCAGGGCCTAGCTTCCAAGTTGCAGGATACCCTGGCCACGGTGACAGCAGGGGCTGAGGTCTCAGACCAGCAGGGCCTCGCACCCAAGCCGCATGATCCCCTGGCCCTGGAGGCAGCCTGGGCTGGGTTCTCAGGCTGGCAGGGTGTGGTTCCCTTCCAGTGTTGGCAGCCTGGGGTCTCACCCATTGAGTCACACCAGCCAGGCAGATATGGAGGAATTTTAAATGTTTCTTTTTAAAAATATATATTTTATTGATTTTTTTACAGAGAAGAAGGGAAAGAGATAGAGAGCTAGAAACATCTATAAGAGAGTAACATCAATCAGCTGCTTCCTGCACACTCCCCACTAGATATGTGCTCCCAACCACGGTATATGCCCTTGACCAGAATCGAACCTGGTATCCTTGAGTTTTCACGCCAATGCTCCATCCACTGAGCCAAACCAGTTAGGACTGTCCAATATGCTAAAGAAAAAACCCTATCTAATAAAGAGGGAATATGCAAGGGAAGGCATTTGGGGGTGACCAGGATTTCAGAGGAGGGCAGTTGGGGACAATTGGGCTGGCAGGAGAGCAGTTAGGCGTCGATCAGGCTTGTAGGGAAGTGGTTAGGGGATGATCAGGCTGGCAAGCAGAAACAGTTAGGGGCAATCAGGAAGGCAAGCAGGCAAGTAGTTGGGAGCCAGCAGCCCTAGATTGTGAAAGGGACGTCCTGATCCTAGGTATGGGGCCTAAACAGGCAGTCGGACAACTCCCAAGGGGTCCCAGATTGGAGAGGGTGCAGGTTAGGCTGAAGGACACCCTCCCATAGATATAGATATAGAGATAGAGATAGAGATAGAGATAGAGATAGATGTAGGTATAGGTATATAGATATAGATATAGATATAGATATAGATATAGATATAGATATAGATATATAGATATAGATATTAGTCTGGTTAACTCCATCACAGTTATAAAGATTACTTCCTCTCATGACACAAAGCTATTATAAAGTGGGCTGCTCAACATTGCCCACAAAATATAAATAAACTTGCACATTGTGGGAATGTGAATTGACCGTAATGTATAGAAGACTAATAGATAAATTATTTTTATCCCTCTTCTTACTCTATACATGCTCATTCATCCTCTATTTTTTTTAACCTCATTTCCTCCCACTCCCATATATAGTCTTCTTCCAGCCATACTGCCCAAAAGTCCCAATTTTCCCCACCTCTTTGGAATTTAGCACAAGTATTATAGTTTTCATTAAAAGAAGCTTTTTAGAACCTTTCCTCCCTGTAGTCACAGCTTTTTGTGCATACACATTATGTGGGAGCTACTGAATGAATCTCCTTCCTTGCTAGTCCATAAACAACTTGAGAACCAGGATTTTGTTTCATGTTTCTTTACATCTTCAATTCTGAGCAAAGTATTAAGAACAAAATATGTCCTCAATATAAACATGTTGAATGACTGAATACATAACCACAACTTAAAATTCAATTAGTAAACATCAAAATACTTAGTTAACAAATCAAAGATCCTGATTATTTACATGTAAATAATTAAATCATTAACACTAAAAAAGTCTTGATATATTTTATTAGCTTCCAAGCTTACCTGCACACCTTAACTGCAGTACATCCGATGGCACATTCAATAAGTATGAAAAATGATCCTTGAGTTGTTTTAAAAAGTTTTCAATTTTAAAAGAAATTATAATTTCCTGGCTCACAGGAAGAAGTACAACTTTTACTGTAAATTATATAAAAAAAAAAAAAAAAGGAAAGAAAGAAAGAATCCTGGTCAAAAGCAATGGTGAGCAAACTACAATCAATAAACAGATGAAAAATCATGGAAAATTTTTTAATTACATAGAATGCAGGTGCTTCTGCCATATTCTCCCACCTCCATAAGTTATTTTTCATTTTTTATGAGAAAGTGACAAATATCAGTAGAATCTAAAAATTAGCACTTGTTGATGAACACCTGCTCCCCAATGCCAAAGCTTAAAGTTCAGATCTTTCTCCTCTTCCCTGGCATAAGGATTAGTGCATACTCACCTCCTGACTCAGAATATCGGGAGAAATATAAAATAAAACTAACTGCTTTGACAAATTCCCACTATGTGCTATATATTACTCAGATTTAGACATAGAAAACATCTCAGAAAATTAAGCATTTTTGTGTCGTACTGGAAAGGGACCCCGAGGCCTAGAGGGTGTCCCAATGATATCATACATCACTAAATCAGTGTGTTTTTATGAAATTAAGAAAAATACGTTTTCAAAGAAATTTTTCTTTTACCCTACAAATACAAAAGATATCTCATACTAAATCCATTCTTCTTCTCATAATTTATGTCTATAGTTGCCAAAATGGAAAACACAGAATCAGTTTTGCAAATATCAGAAATACCCACACACAAAAAATCTGGAATAACTACACAAACCTACTTTTCACAAAAATGGACATTCTGTGGTTCACTCCTCACTTTATAAATAGGAAATCAAGACACATTGAAATTTTTAAAAAACTGTCATTATAAAATTATTATCTGTTCACAAGTTATAGGAAGGAAATATAGTATTTAAAAACTATTATGTAAAAGGTAAACCTTTTCTTTTCACCTATAGACTTTAAATTTTGAAGAAGAAGATGGAAAAGTTAAGAAGGAAAAGGTTTGCACACTGTAAGCCAAAAATGTCTTGTATATTTCTTATGCCTGATCTGACAATTTTCATAAATTACATGAGACATCAGTAATCCCAAGATAAAATTCAGCTAGGCATTGCTGATACCAAGGATCTTCAGACTTGTTAAAATTTGTTTTCACAGTTCTCTGTCAACAAAGAACACTTCCACGGATGTTAAATTCTCAGAAGGCTATTTTAATTGTTTTATGGATTCAAAATTTGATGGCAAATATATTTTACATTTGGGAAGGGAGGAGTATTGAAGAATTTGTCAGCCTCAGGACCAAGACAACTTTTTAAAAATTCACCAATGTGTTTGTTATAAGCTACAATATCAGAGAATCACAGAAATATGAATAAATCCCAGTTTACACTGAATAATGAAATCAAAGAATAACACCTTCAGTTAGGTATAATTGGGCTTGATTAATTTCTTCCTCTTCCTTTTCATTCTTAACTTATGTGGACACGCCTTACAAAATAAACTACTCCATTGAATTAAAATGATACATTTTACCAGCCAAACTAAGCTGCTGTGATTATTGAGTGATGGCTCAGGTTCTCACCCTATGGATGAAAACTCTCTCAAACTTATGGAGAAAGAGGGGAGCGGTAGTCAGTTAACTAGACAAGTAGAAAGGCTCTCTGTATAATCACTTTCCTCCCACCCCATCTGCTTTGTTATCAACAATGTAGTAATAACTCCTAAATGCCACCAACCTTGTAAAATTAAACTGTAATGAAAGACAATGATTTTTCTGAAGTTAAAAATAAGGTTAACACTATGCAGACATTAGGACATCTGTAAAAGCAACATGATAGGTGAGCACTGGCTCTGAAACTGGGAAATCAGGAGTCAAGTTCCCATGGCACTGCTTGCTAGCTCTTTACAATTAATTCCAAATTGGCATGCAAAAAAAAAAACTTCATTTATACTCGAGAATTTATCTGCCACTTCCTAAGATCCCTACACATTTTTAAAAATACACTTTATAGGAAAAAAACCACAGATAAATATCCATTTAAAATTAAAGATATTCATTTATTTAGGGAGAGTAGATACTGTAGATACTTCACACGTAATTAAGAGACACAAGTGGTATGTCTGAAGAAGTTTGGTGTATAGGAAAGGGGAAAGGGAAATCAAATATAAAACAAATCTTTAAGCAAAAACAAACAAGAAAAAGTAAGCATTCTCTAAATGAGGATAAGAATTATCCTATCTTCCCTGGGTAATACCTGTTGCTGTAGAATCTATCACTGATGATCTCACAGATTCTCTGACAGACCTTATTTTCTCCATGAATGTCTGATAATAATCACTGGAATACCGTTTGGCTGGATCAAATCCAGCTAGCTTGGGATCTGAAACTTGTTCAGATGGTGTAACCTCTTCCAAGCCTACTTCTTCTTCGCCTGAAGAGCCCTGGTCACTCTGCTCCTTAGCATGCGGTTCACGGCCATCACCAGGTAATTTTTGTTCAGAATCATTGTCTTCCGTTTGGTCTGACTCTGGTAGCTCTTCTGAGACAACTGGGATCTTGATAGTGTCATCAAGTTCTTCACCTTCTTCTGTTGCATCAGCAGCAACCAGAGCATCAATTTCTTCCTCCAGTTCAGACATTTTCCTGAATTGAGAAAATTAATTTGCTATACATAGAAACATATATACCAAATATCAAATTCATTGCTGATGTAGAGTAATGTTCATAATATACTACAATGGTGCTCATTACTTTTAAAATATAATGATTACCTTAGGAATGGCATAAGGTAAAACGCCAGTGGACTTTCTTTCTTTCTTTTTTTTTTTTTAAAAGAGCTACATCTTTTTTTTTTTAATATATTTTATTGATTTTATACAGAGAGGAATTGAGAGGGACAGAAAGTTAGAAACATTGATGAGAGAGAAACATCGATCGGCTGCCTCTTGCACACCCCCAACTGGGGATGTGCCCACAACCAAGGTACATGCCCTTGACCGGAATCGAACCCGGGACCTTTCAGTCCGCAGGCCGAGGCTCTATCCACTGAGCCAAACCGGTCCTGGCGTGCCAGTGGACTTTCAATAAAAACACTACAGAAAGTAAAAATGAGCCTCCAAGCATAATTAATTTAAACTAAATCTTCTTTAAAGAACATATTGAAAAATATTTTAAAATATATTGTCATCTTCCCCTACCTGGTTTAGCTCAGTGGATAGAGCATCAGCCTGTGGACTGAAGGGTCCCAGGTCCAATTCCATCAAGGGCACATGCCTGGGTTGCAGGCTCAAACCCCAGTATGGGGAGTGAAGGGGGCAGCTGATCAATGATTCTCTCCCACTGATGTTTCTGTCTCTCTCTCACTCTCCCTTCCTCTCTGAAATCAATAAAGAAATATGTTTAAATACATATATTATATATGTAAAAGCCTAATATGCAAATTGTCCCCACAGGAGTTTGACAGGGAGACCATTTGCTTGCTATGATATATTACGATATGTGCTGACCATCAGTGCATGGCACGGGATAAAGCAAGACCCTGGCCAGCAGCCGGCAGCTGGGGAAAGGAGGCTGCCGGAAGGCCCCGATCAGACCTGATCGCAGGACAGGCCTAGGGACTCTACCCATGAACGACCAGTGGACCAGCCAGTAGTTATGACATGAACTGACCATCGGGGGCAGATGCTCAACACAGGAGCTGCTGAGCTGCAGTCACTTGGCAGCTGTGGTTCTTGGGTGACACAACTGGAACTAGAGAGGAGGGAGCCTGATTCCAGGATGTGTCACCCGAGAACTGCCCTCTTGCAATCTGGGACCCTTCAGAGGATATTAGAAAGTTTATTTTGGCCTTATCCCCACAGGCCAGGCCAAGGGACCCCACCAATGCATTAATCTGTGCACTAGGCCTCTAGTATTTATTTAATACTAGAGGCCCGGTGCACGAAATTCATGGGGGGTGGGGGGGGGGGAAGGAGGGGTGGTGGTGCCCCTCATCCCAGCCTGCACCCTCTCCAATCTGGGACCCCTTGAGGGATGTCCGACTGCCCATTCAGAACTGTCGATTGGAATCAGGCCTAAACGGGCAGTTGGACATCCCTCTCACAATACAGGACTGCTGGCTCCCAACTGCTCACCTGCCTCCCTGCCTGATTGCCCCTAACCACTTCTGCCTGCCATCCTGATCACCCCCTAACTACTCCCATGCCAGCCTGATTAATGTCTAGCTGCTCCCCTGCCAGCCTGTTTGCCCCAACTTCCCTTCTCTGCTGGCCTGGTCACCCCTACCTGCTCTCCCCGGCAGGGTTGATCACCTCCAACTGCCCTCCCTTGCAGGTTTGGTTCCTCCCAACTGCCCTCCCCTACTGGCCATCTTGTGTCCACCTGGGAGCAGGATCTTTGACCACAGGGGGTCAGCTATCTTGATTTTGTGTGTTGGAGTGATGCATATTACTCTTTTATTAGATAGGATAGAGACCTGGTGCATGGGTGGGGGCCAGCTGGTTCGCCCTGAAGGGTGTCCCAAATCAGGGTGGGGGTTCCCTTGGGGTGTGGGGTAGCATGGGTAAGTAGCCTGTGGTGGTTTGCAGGCCGGCCATGTCCCCTGGCAACCCAAGTGAAGGCCCTGGTATCTAAAATTTATTTACCTTTTACAACTGAAACTTTGTAGCCTGGAGCAGAGCCAAGCCTTCTGCTCGCTCTGTGGCTGCCACCATTTCTGTTTGGATTTGTTTACCTTCTATAATTGAAACTTTGTAGCCTTGAGTGGAGGCTTAGGCTGGCAAGGGCAGGCAGTAAACTTGGCTTCCTCCATTGCCTGGGAAACTCAACCCTCCTTCCTGTTCTCTGTGGCTGCAGCCATCTTGGTTGGGGTTAATTTGCATACTTGCTCTGCTTGGCTGGTAGGCGTGGCTGATGGGTGTAGTGGAGGTATGGTCAATTTGCATACTACTCTTTTATTAGATAAGATATGTATTAGAGGCCTGGTGCATGAAAATTCATGCACGGAGGGGGGTCCCTCAGCCCAGCCTACCCACTCTTACAGTCTGGAGCCCTCAAGGGCAGGAGGTGATCCAGCAATCAGGGAAAGGAGATGCCCAGGAATTGAACCTGGGCCACGGCAGTGAGAGCGCCAAATCCTAACCACTAGACCTCTAGGAAACCATTTTTATGTTATAGAATTTGCCAGGCAACCGAAAAATATGCAAGGATACTGGAGGCACAGGAAAAAAACATTTATTTTCAGATGTTTCACATGTCAGTACAGGGCTCATAGGAGACTGTTTCTCTCCAAATCCTGAGTAAGCCAATATGGAGGAAGCTTTCCCTTTATAACCTTAGGTTTCTTTGTCCCCCAAATATGGGATGGGATTTCTGGACCTTTTATGGGCTTTGCAGAAAGCCCCATGTGTTGGGGTGGAGGCCGTGAGACCACATCTAAAGGCCTGGCGTGGCACCAGTGCTGACAATTCTGTCTGGGGGTTGTGTATGTTCATGGTTTATGGCCTCTCTAAAATGAAACTAGTACTTAGGTAAACAGGTCTTTCAGGACCAGATAATTAAAGAAGGGGCAGTGACTAGATTATAGGCAAAAAAGAAAGAGCACTAGGTTATTGGCATAGATTCAAATTGCTAGCCCCTTCAAAATGTCTCATTTTCCCCACCAGTATATTTTTCTGCTAAGCATATATTTTGTTATGAGCTAAGAATAGAATTGTATTGCTGAAATAAATAAAAAAATATGCAGGAACTGCATGTGGCTTGTGAAGCTCTTTTCAGAAAGTTTGCCAGGCCATCTTCTAGCATATTTTAAACTCGAGTTCCAGAAGAAAACAGAAAGATGAGAAAAAGGAAATATCTTTAAAAATAATGGCTGAGAATTTTTCAAAACTGAAATATATAGATCCACAGATCCAAAAATTGGATGAATTATCTAATTCATAACCATATACATTGTAGTTAAATTACATAACAAATAGCAGGTCTGGAAAGCAAACAGTGAAAAGGATATATCTACTGTTTTGAATCATATTCACTTTCTGACATTAATAGAAAAAGAAAGAAAATCACTGTAGATTGCTCATTAGAAAAAATAGAAGCCAAGGCAACAATGTACTAATAAAATAGGATAGCTATCAACCTAGAATTGTGCACCCAGCAAAATAATCTTTCAAAAAGAAAATAGATACATTTATAAATAAATTACCTTCAAGATATCTGCTCTAAAGGAACTTCTAAAGGATATACTTGGAGAAGGATGAAATGAGTCCAATGAAAGTCTGAAGTTCAAGAAGAAAAAATGAGCAAATAAACATACATTGTCAACACAAAATAACAGTACAAAACTAAAACATTATATAATAAAACTAGAGACCCGGTGCATGAAATTCGTGCATGGGGGCAGAGGAGTCCCTCAGCCCAGCCTATACCTTCTCCAATCCAGAACCCCTCATGACTGCTGGCTTCTAACCATTCACCTGCCTGCTGGCCTGATCCCCCTAACTGCTCTCCCCTGCCTACCTGATCCTCCTAATGCTCTCCCTGCCTGCCTGATTGCCTCTAATCACCTCTGCGTCAGCCCCACCACCATGGCTTGGTCCAGAAGGACGTCCAGAAGGTCGTCTGAAAGATGTTCAGTCTAATTAGCATATTACCCTTTTATTAGTATAGATGCCACCTCGTTCTAAAAATGAAGGTTGTTAGCAGGTTTTCCTATCATGGAAGGGGAGCCCACGGAAGCATCCTGGGTTATGAGCAGGGCTTATTAACTCGTGCTATAACTCAGCAGATGTGATTCTTAGAAAACTCTTGGATGTACCTTGAACATTTCTATCAATTTTTCCAAATCATCCTTCAAAAATATTGAACCACTTTAAACTCCCACCAGCAACCATGCATGTGCCCTCTGTCCTACTTTGATGCCAATATCATTGATTTCCCCCTAGAAGCTTCCCTCCCCTCAGCCTGGACTGCTTGGTACTTGAGTCAACCTCACTGTTCAGCCCGGGATTTGATTTCCTGAGAGAATTATGGAGGAGGAAAAATAGTTTTCCTCTACCTTTCAGAGTTCTTAGCAGAGACTCTTGTAACAAATGACAGATTACCAAGAGAAAAACAAAAGTTCATTAACATGTATACCTCGTGTATATGTGGGAGACCCCAGGGGAAAATGAATAACTCCCCAAGGTTGCTTAGAATCCAGATCTAAATACCTTCTTCCTAGGGAAAGGGGATGGGAGATGTAGGCCTCTTAAGGATAGTAAACGATTTTTAGAAAAAATGAATGGGGGTGGTGGGGATAGTTTGTAATAAAGTTTAGGTATGATGTCAACTTCTAGTTTCCTGTCCAGTGACAGGAGTCAGTCTTCGCTGGCTGATGACACTTTTCCCATCCAGGAGACCTATGACATTTAAGCTCCTTTTGGGGGTCCAATTTTAGGCAGATCAGGAGTCTTCAGTGAAATCCTCTGCATGCATTTGCTGTTTTCCACACATCTGCAGCTGAAGATCATCAATAAAATAACATGGCATATGTTGGGGTGGCATGTTCTCTGACCTCCAGAATAAACCCAACAGAAGCTTGTTTCCTCTCTTAGATGATTTGCCACAGTTGCATTATTCCCTGGAGACAGAATTCTGACCA